CAATGGTAAAAAAAAATATGGTCCCCAGTTGGCACTATTTGGGAAGGGTTAGGGTGTGTCCTTTTTGGAGGTGTGCCTTTAGGAGACTGAGGTTTCAGAGACTCAAATCATTCCCACACACACACTCTCTCTCTCCTTCTGCCCTCTCCCCCACTGCCTTGTCCGTGTAGATGAAGATGTGAACCCCTAGCTGTCCCTGCCACTATGTCCTCATTTTGATAGTTTGGATTCAAACCTTCTAAAATTCTAAGATGAAATCAAAAGTTTTATGCATTGCCTTGGTCATGGTGTCTTGTTTGTTTGCTTTCTTTTCTTTATTTTTATTTTTTTTAAAACTTTATTTAACATCATTTCATGCACATTGGTATAACGATGTCAGATTCTCTTGAACTGGAGCTACAGACAGCTGTGAGCTGCCATGTGGGTGCTGGGAATTGAACCCGGGTCCTCTGGAGGAGCAGTCAGTGCTCTTAACCACTGAGCCATCTCTTCAGCCCCCTTCTTTTCTTTATTTATTCATTTATTTTTTAATTTTTTGAGGCAGGGCTTCTCTGTAGTTTTGGAGACTGCTCTGGAACTTGTTCTATAGACTAGGCTGGTCTCAAACTCACAGAGATCCACCTGCCTCTGCCTCCTGAATGCTGGGATTAAAGGTGTGCACCACCACCACCACCCGGCGGTTTATCTTTAGAGACAAGGTTTCTCTGAGTTACATCTCCAACTGTCCTAGTACTAGCTCTATAGACCAGGCTGGCCTCAAACTCACCACTCACCGAAATCCACCTACCTTTGCCTCCCAAGTGCTGGGATTAAAGTGGTGTGCTGCCACCACTGAGCTGGCCATGGTATCATTCATTGCAGCTGCAGAACAGTAACTGATACCATTGCTATGGAGACACACACCTAGGCAGCTCTGTGGGAACATTACTAGAAAGGTTGAGCTGGTACAGGAAGGCCCACCCTGTCTAGAGCAGCACCACCCTGAGGGCTTGGGTCCTGGAATGAATAAAGAGCCTCTCTCTCTTTCTTTCTGTTTCTCTCTCTCTTTCCTTCCTGACTGAAGCTGCAGGGTGACGAGCTCCTGTCACTGTAACTTCCCACCATGATGGACTCTTTCTCCAAACCGTGAATCAAACTCTTAAGTTGCTTTTGTCAAAGAAATGCTAAAAGTAGCTAATATACTATCATAACAGGAAAAATTGTAGTCCAACTAGCATGGCAGCACCTGGCTGTTGTCCTAGCACTTGGAAGACTGTGCTCAAAGCCGGGCAGTGTGGTGCACACCTTTAATCCCAGAACTCAGGAGGCAGAGGCAGGCAGATCTCTGTGAGTTTGAGGCCAGCCTGGTCTACAAGAGAGCATCCAGAATAGCTGGGGGGCTTCACAGAGAAACTCTGTCTTGAAAAGCCAATAAAAAGAAAGAAAGAAAGAAAGAAAGAAAGAAAGAAAGAAAAAAGACTGTGCTCAAATCCAGCCTGGGCTACTTGGTAACTGGGAGGCCAGCCAACTCAAAAATAAAAACAAAACCAACAAAATCGAAGTTGAGCCATGGTAAGTCACATCACAGATGTGACTTCTTCCCCTTGCTCTAACTGATAAGCAGTCTGGGTACCAATCCTTTAAGATCATGGGAAAAAAATATTCCTTTAGTGGCAGCAAAATGATGATTTATTCATTTGTTTATTTATGTGTGTGTGCGCGCACATACATGTGCTGATGTGTGTGCGTGTGTGCGGGTACATGTGAATATATGCTCCTGGATATGAAGGCCAAAGCACAACCTCATTCCCGAGGGACTGTCCACCTTGGTTTTAGGGACCTTGGGTTTTTTTTTTGTTATTTCTTTGTTTTTGAGACAGGCCTTCTCTGTAACCCTGGCTGTCCTAGAACTCACTCCGTAGACCAGGCTGACCTTGAACTCACAGAGATTCACCGGCCTCCGTCTCTGGAATGCTGGGATTAAAGGGTTTAACCACCACAAGTCCCATCTTGCTTTTGAGACAGGGTCTCTCACCAGGATCAGCAGACAGCAGGAAAAGAGTGACACTGGGCCTGGCTTGAGCTTCTGAAACCTCAAAGCCAATCCCTGCAACACTTCTTCCAACAAGGCCACACCTCCAATTATGTCACTCCCTGCGAGTATGGGGGCTGTTTTTCATCCAAACCACCACACCTGTTTGTTTGTTTTTAACATCGGTTCTGAAATGGAACTTGGGGCCTTGTGTTTGAGGCTCATCTGAGTCATCTCCAGTCTTTAAAAGATAATTTAAAAATTACTTTACGTGGGTATTTTGCCTACATGTGTGTCTGTGTACCACGTGTGTTCCTGGTGCCCGTGGAGACCAGAAGAGGGCACTGGATACCCTGAAACTGGAGTTATAGACTGTTGTGGGCCTCCATGCAGTTGCTGGAAATCCATTCTGGAAGAGTAATCAGTACTCTTAACTCCTGAGCCATCTCTCCAGTCCCTTGGCCCTACTTTAAAAAAAGTTTTTTAAAGATTTATTTCTTTATTATGTAATACAGTATTCTGTATGTTTGTGTGCCTGCAGGCCAAAAGAGGGTACCAAAACCCACTGCATATGATTGTGAGTCACCGTGTGGTTGCTGGGAATTGAACTCAAGACTTCTAGGAGAACAACCAGTGCTCTTAACTGCCGAGCCATCTCTCCAATCCTACTTTAAAATTTTTGAAGTGGGGGCAGAGGGTGGGCCTAGAGAGATGGCTTAGTGGCTGCCTCCCAAGTGCTGGGATTAAAGTGTGTGCTATCCTGCCCGGCTCACAAAAGTGTGTGTCGCCATGCCCGGCTCACATTTTTATTTTTAAAAGTGTGTTTGTGTGTGTGTGTGGGGGGGGGGGATCAGATGACAGCTTGCAGGAGTCAGTTCCCTCTTCCACCGTGTGGGTCCCAGGGATGGATCTTCGGCAGTAGTGCTTGGCAGCAGCCACCTTTACCCATTGAGCAATCTTGCTTGCCCCTATCTTTTTAATTTTACAAAGAGGACAGACTTGAAGTTCAGTTCCACGTCACTCCCCAGCCTGGTCTCCCTGTCTGTTTCGGGCATATAAAATTGGGAAGGTACTCAGCTCTGCCCTGTGCCCTTGGGCAATCCCACGACCCTCTTTTTTGAGCACTTTCTAATCAGTCCAGAAGACAGGGGATTGGGGTGCAGCACTCTGCAGCTTGGGCCCCACATTTGACCTCTGTATTCCATGCCAAACTCACCCAAGGCTATGCCCAACTGAATGTCACTGGCCCGACCAAGGCAACGGCCTGCTCAGTGGGGATGGCCTATGGTAACAAGACAAGATGGGAGGGACAGCATCCATCCTCACTGTCCTGGCCATGGCAGAGTGTGTTTGCTAGCTGGGCGAAGCCCCCAGATCGAAAGCCCAAGCTTTCCTTCCTTTCTGCCCTTCTGCACGTCCCGCTGAGGCTGGGAGCCATCCCAGCTCTCTCTGGGAGCTGCAAAGACCTAGTAATTCAGTAAAGCTCCGTTGGGGTCCTCTAGCAATCCTCAAAACTCACAGAACCCTGGGGCCAGTCCCAGCACTAGCAGAGTGACCAGAATGAAATCTCACCTGTCCTCTCTCCAGGTACATCTGTGTCTTTTGTTCTTGAACTTGAGTCTACCGGCCTGTCTGCTGTTCATACAGGTTTGCCAACTCTCTCTCTCTCTCTCTCTCTCTCTCTCTCTCTCTCTCTCTCTGTGTGTGTGTGTGTGTGTATGCTGGAGACCTGGCTTGCAGGTAGATTGTCAGCCTAGAATCCACCAGTGACTGGTTTATTTGCAAAATATTTGTTTACACTGTGTGAAAATCTATCACTGTGATTTGTTTAATAAAGAGCTGAATGCCCAATAGCTAGGCAGGAAAGGATAGGCGGGACTTCCGGAGAGAGAGAGAGAAACACAGGAGGAATTGAGTGTGCAAAGAGACACCAGCCAGACACTGAAGTTGGACATATGGTACAGAGGAGCGGTAACCGAACCACGTGACAGAATATAGATTAATAGAAACAGTTAAGTTATAAGAGCTGGTTGGGAAAAAGCCTAAGCTAAGGCCAAGCTTTCATAATCAATAACAAGTTCCTGTGTCGTTTTTTTGTGTGCCGGCACCTGGCCCACGGGAAAGTTCAACTACAGCGTCTCACCTTGGGCACTTGGCCAGCATGCACAAGAACATGGTTTAAGTCCTAGTACAAGAGGAAGAGGAACTCTGATGAGGCTTAACCTTGGAGAAACCAAGAAACCTAAAAGAAAGAAAACCTCAATTTCCTAGCTGGGCAGTAATGGCAAAAAGCCTTTAACCCCAGCACTCAGGAGGCAGAGGCAGGCAGAGCTCTGTGAGTTCGGGGCCATCCTGGTCAACAGAGCAAGTTCCAGGATAGCTAATGCTGTCCTGTATGGGGGGGGGGGAGTAGAAGAGTAGAGGCCTGCACTGGTTGGTCATCATCTAGGGATTCTGCAAAGTAGGTACTCAATTGACAAGCCGACTGTTTAAAATATGCTCTACAGTGTCTTCTTACACAGCTTTGCTTGCAAAGTGCTCTTTGGTTCTCTCCATCCACGTGTCTGTAGAGCCAAGGCGGAGCCTGGTACCAGGCAGGAGCACTTAAAGATTGAAAGACTGAATGCACGATTGCCTTTGTCTATTGTGTAGAGTGGAAGAAGCAGAGACACGCGGGACCCTCCCCATTCACTATGGCCCAGTCTGTAGAATCAGTCTCTCTGGGAGGGAAGCTGGGCTGGGGGCTGCTCTCAGCCCCCTCGCTGACCTCCCAAATAGCCCGCTTCCTTGGATGCCGCGCACAATCCTCCTAACCCTGTCATCTGACTCTTACCGCCATCTCCCGCCCTGTCTCCCGTCCGCACCCCCCCCCCCCGCGCAGCCCCGTAATGGTTCAGCCCGCCGCCATTTAGACCGAGTAAGATCGGACCACTGCGCGCACGTGCGGGGGAGGCCGAGGTTCGGCGGAGGGATCCCTTCGGAGCGTTCCGACGAGAGGCGCCCATTGGCCGCGAGTGCGGGCGGCTGCTGCCGATTGGTCCGCTCGGGACGCCGGCCCCGCCCAGGTACCGGAGGTCCAGGGAGAAGCCCGGCCGAGTTTCCAGAGGACCGAACTGGGCGCGCGGGGTGGCGGCGGCGCAGGTGAGTGTCCCCGGCCGGGGGCGGCCTCCCGGGCATGGAGCCGTGGCGGCGGGGTGGGGCTGGCCGCGACGGGACCCCAAGGACGGACCCTTCGCGCTGGCAGGGGCCTCCGGTCCACCCCTGCCCTCTGCACCCGGGACGCTCCCTGTTGGTGGTGGGTCCAGACCCCTCCCGTGCCCCTACCCAGAAGCTGCTGGCCGGCGGGGACACCGAGCGACCACCGGGCCCGGATAACAATAACAACCGCAGTAATAGTTTGGATCCCTCCCCCACTTGCTAGCCCGGACCCAGCGCTTTCTCGTCAGACGCTTTGCATTGCATTGAATCAAAACAGCCTCCTGGGAGGGGCTCCTAACTTCTTTTAGAAGTGAAGCACCTGGGCCAGAGAGGTGAAGTGACTCACTCAAGGTCACACAGGTAGTGAGTGGCCGGTGGGGGTGAGAGACCCACGCCTTAGAGTCCAGAAACTAATCCCAGAGATCGGCCCCCTGGACTCACTACACACCGCCACCCCCATATTCACTTCGGAGCCGTACCTGCTGGGTTTTGCATCCCTCCCCGCGCCCACAGGTCACTAGACAGCTTCCATCGTCCCTTCTCTTGAGCTGGAGAGGCAAGGCCCAAACACCATGGGTCCTTGAATCCCATCCCCTCTCCACCCACCCTGTCCACTCTACTGCGAAGGAAATGCCTGGGAATTTAGAGGTCGGGTGTCTGGGGTGCTGGGCTTCGGCGGCCGCCAAGACCGGGCGAGCGGCGCGTTCACGCCCCTCAGCCCCCGCCCCGGAAACACTGGAGAGATGAGACCTTCAGGATCCGGTTTTTCAAGAATGAATCAGAGGCCTTCTGCCCTCCCCAAAGCAGTACTGTGCAGGGGGTAAGGAGGGAGGGACGACAGGGGAGCAGGTGTGGTGTCCCCTAAGCCAGGTGTTATCTGAGACCCAGGAACCCCCTTCCCTGCTTCCTGCTCCTCCCACTTAGCTTTTCTGTGACTGCGGGTGGGGGTTGCTAAGTTTCAGGCCCTTTTTGGGATGAGAGCGCTGGACTCCGGAAATCCATCCAACCCACTTCCTTCAGCTCCTGCAGACAGTGGGAGGTGCTCATAGCTCTCTAACGGTCGTGGTGGGGCTTGGGCCACAGTCAGTCGGGTATAGGACATTCTACAGTTCAGCTCTTGGGGAACCCTAGGCATCACATGCCAGGCAGGTGCTCTACCTCGAGCTACACCCCCATCACCTACAAGGACTAAGCAGCCACTGGGCCAGGCTCCGTATTTTGCTGGGAGGAAACTGCCCTCCAAAAACAGGACAGAATTCTCTGCACTCTAGTGGGGAACAGGCCACAAGTTTCCATGGGCAGCCATTACAGATCTGTCTGAGCACTGAGTGGCCTCTCAGAGAGCATCACTGGGCAGGGGCAGCTCGCACACCCCAGGCAGAGCAAAGCATAGAATAGCTGGCACAGACTGAAGCTGGAGATGTGAGTCTGCGGGAGTTTGGGGCACCTGGTACACTCTCAAGTTTTCCCCTATATGGTGGGATCCCTTTGTGAGGTCGGAGACAGATGACGGATGCTACCTGGTTTGCATTTTAAAATAGAGACACAGGCTGGGGAGACAGAGTGCATGCTGGGAGTGCGATTCCCAGCACCTACATGGTTTATAACCATCTCTAACAGTAGTGCCTTCTGACCTCTGCAGGCACCCGGCACCCAGTGGTGCACAGATGGACATGCAGCAAAGCCCTCATACGCATAAAAAAAAAACCTTCAAAAATAAAGACACAAAGATAAATAACAGCTGGGATGTTGGGAGATGAACAGCTAAGTTCATAGGTCCGAGTCCTGTGGAGCAGCTCCCGTGGGCTGGGGCAAGCCTACTGCCTGGAGATGTCTGGAATAGCCTTGCCAAGTTAGGAACTTGGGTGCCCCTGGGCCAGGGAAGGAAGGATCTAACAGTAGTAGAGACTGGAGCAGTCTGGAGGTGTGGGTCAACAGTACAGCCCCTGTGAGGATCCAGCAGTGAGGGCTGGGGGAGGGGAGGGGTCGGCAATAGAGCTTCTTCCTAGTGAATGAAAGGTTGGAGCTTTGTCTCTCACTGCAAATAGTGACACTTCCAACACTTCCTGACGTGTGTGCTGAAGTACTGAGCAGGTGCCATGCAGCGCACCCCGAGAGACACGAACTCTGCCACATTTTCAGATGGGAAAACTGGGGGCCTCATGAAGTTAAGCAACTTCACTTTGTCTCTGCCACTGGTGAGTGGCAAAGGAGCTTGGATCCAGGCCACTGTACTACAGCTCGGGGTCCATGGCATGTTCCTCAATGCCTTGTGTCACTCACCAGAGGGCACACAAAAGCTAGACTAAACCAGAGCCTTGAACATGTTCAGAGACAGAAAGGAGGCAGGGGTGTGGGGCTCCAAGACAGTGAGGAAAGACAGAGCATCAGCACAACACACACCCTAATAGTTCTCCGGGGAGCACCCCAGGAACACACATGGTTTCCTCTGAGCGCAGAGGAGTTAAGATACTTGCCTTAAACCAGGCAGTGATGTGTACACCTTTAATCTCAGCATTCAGGAGTCGCAGGCAGGCAGGTCTCCAAGTTCAAGGCCAGCCTGGTCTACAGAGCAAGTTCCAGGACAGCCATGCCTACACAGAGAAATCTTGTCTCAAAGACAAAAAAGAACAAGGACTGGTGATTTAGAGACTGTGTACTAGGGGGATGCTGCCGCTGTTCTTTGCTAGTGAATGTGGTGACATAATTTTAGAGGACATTTCTATGTAATTCATTAGAGTTTACCTTTGTCTAGTAGCCAGTGAGTGTGCTATACTGGTGTACAGAACTATGGACAGAGAGATGAAGGAACCAGTAAAAAACTAGTGCCCAGAATATATAAAGAGTTCTCACAAATCAGTAAGAAAAACATCATCCAAGTAAAGCCGAACCAGCCAGGTGTGGAGCAAGCCTATTATCCCAGGGCATGGGAGATGAGGCAGGAGGATCTTCATTTGACGCTATTGTATAGTACACAGGGAGACCCTCCTCAGAAAAGCAAAAGAAAACCGTGCAGGCCAGGTAGTCCGTGGAGATGGCACTTTGGTAAAGTGCTTGCTGCTGCAGCTGAATTTGACCGTCAGAACCCACATGGAAATGCTTGCAGTTGTTACCCCAGCACTGGGGACAAAACAGGAAGACCTGTGGGGCTCATTGGCCAGCCAGCCTAATTGGAGAGCTCAGACCCTGCCCCAGAAAGACAAATGGGACTGGGAATATGGGATAACTTAGTGGTAGAGGGCTTGCTTAGCATACTTGAGACTGGGAGTTCAATTCCCGGTACAAAAGGGGTGACCCTAGAGACATGGCTCAGTAGTGCAAAGGCTGCCACCTGAGTGTAGAAGGGAAGAACTGACTCCCACAACCTCTGCACACTGGGACAACATACATGCACACAAATAAATTCTTTGTCTTTGAGATAGGGTCTCATTATGTAGTTCTGGTTGTCCTAGAACTGCTGTGTTGGCCTGCCTAGCCTCAAACTAATTTTAAAAACTTTTATGTGGTTTTTGTCTGCATGCATGTCTGCACACAGGGCAGAAGAGGATATCAAGTCCTCCCTAGTACTTGAGTTGGAGGCAGTTGTTAGTGGCTATGTGGGTTCTAAGATTCGAACCCAAGTTTTGTTTTTTGTTTTTTGTTTTTTTTGAAGAATAGGCAGTGCTCTAACTGTTGAACCATCTCTTCAACCCCAATAAATTTTTTTAAGCCAAGTGATGGCACTTGAAGACCAGTACCCAAGGTTGACCTCTAACCTCCACACGCACCCACACATCCGTGGGAATGAGTGAGTACGTGCCCAAGGAGCACAGTGAGCGCTGGAGGCAGGGCTCAGCAGCTGCGAGTGTTTCCCAGCATCCTGTTGGGCTGCTTACCACTGCTTGTAACTCCATCCCTAAGGGATCTGGTGCCTTCTGCCTCTGTAGGCACCTGCACTCAGATGCACAGAGCCTCATGCAGGCTCATACCTATACAAATAATGCAAAATACAATCTTAAAGAAGGTGGGTTGGCTCAGTGAGTAAAGGCACTTGCCTCCAAACCTGAAGAGCTGGCTTTGACCTCCAGGACACACCTGGTGGAGGGAAAGAAGTAAGTCAGGCACTTCCTGACAGACGCTGACAATATGACATGCCTACATACACACAGAGTAAGTCAGCAAACAACAGTTAACAGGAAGTCCACTAACAAGCCAATCAGGAGCACTGAACATTATAAAAAGGTGTTTGGCACCATTGATTCTCCCACGTGCAAAAGCAAGCCTCCAGTGAGAAGTCAAGTGGTGCCTCACTGCCCAGAACAGGGTGGGGTCCGTGGTGTGGGGCTTGTGCTCTCCTGGGAGATGGCCAGTCTTGCCACACAGGGCCCTCACTCATCCAACATGATTTCCTGTGGCTGTCCTGTCCCACATACTGAGGGATGCCAATAGTGACACACAGATCTCTCCCCTCAGCAGACAGTGGACAAAGACATAAAATGCCTTTCCCAGCTGAAGGACGTAAGGGAGGGTGCTGGACAGCAGAGGGAGCAGCCGGTTAAAGGCCCTAAGACAGCTCCAGTCTAACTGTGAGCCAGGTGGAGGAGGCCTCAGGCTGACGGGACGGCACTATGACATGGGTAGTGGGCCCTAAAGGACTGGGATTCCTGGGAAAGCGGAGCGGAGCACGAGGCGACATTGACTATAGGGTCATTCTGGCTGCTGTCTTGACAGGAAGCTGGACGCTAAGGGACGCCTGAGGACCCAGAGGCAACTGTAGTGTAGGTGAGTGGGGTGGGAGTAGAGCCTGCAGGGTCAGAAGAATGCATGACAGTGAGCAGGGAACCCTCAGGAAGATGTGGTTAAAGCCAACTGGGTTCCCTTGTACCTGCATTGCCCCTCAGGAGAGCAAATCTGCAGAACACAGGAAGTCCCTAGGGCATGAGTTGAAGGCAAGCCTGTGCCAGTTGGTGTGACCCTGCCCCAAAGTAATGAGATGAACTGAGCCAGACGTGCTGATGCACTCCTGTGTTCCTACTCAGGAGGGTGAGGCAAGAGGATCACAAGTTCAAGGTCAATCTTGGCTGCGTAGCAAACGTGAGGGCAGCGTGGGCCAGGTGAGCCCCAGCAAGGAGGGTGGAATATCACTGTGGATAGTTGTCAAGGCCAAGTGTCTCGAGGGTCACAGATCAGACACCTTGAGGGAGCCTGTGGCTCAGGTTGGGTGCGGATCAGTGATTGTTCACCTGTGTGCTGCGACCTGGTTCCATCCCATCTGCCTTCATTGTCTTCTCCCCTCCTGCTCTGGCCACACTGTTCAGAATTGTGCTGCGTGTGAGCTGCTGTACCTCAGGGCCTCTGCGCTGTCCACGTCCGCCTAGCACTCTTGTCCCACATGTTTGTGTGTGGGAGGTCAGAGACCGGGCCCTGATCCCTGCTTCAGCACCACACGGTTCTGGAGGGGATGGTCAGCTCCAGCCAGTTTATTGTACCTCTTGTAAGTAACTAGAAAGATAGTCTTCTCCCAGAGACACAGGCCACAGCAGGGCCACAGCTCAGCAGGCAGCTGTGGGCAGGGGTTCACCCCTTTTGCTCTCTTAATACCTACTGTGTCTGCAGCATAGTGAACAGCTGTACAACTGGATGTAGTGTTCCTAGTCAGGGGTGTGTTTGTTAAAGTAAAATGGCTGAGCATGGTGGTACATGCTGATAGTCTAAGCTACTGTAGACTGAGGCAGGAGGACCACGAACTCAAGATTAATCTGGACAATATGGCAAGACCCTGACTCAAGAAAATAAAGCTGGGCAGCGCTGGAGCACACCTTTAATTCCAGCACTGAGAAGGCAGAGGCAGGTGGATCTCTGTGAGTTTGAGGTCAGCCCGGTCTAAGAAAAGGGGCCAGGTTGGAGAGATAGTTACAGGTGCTGCTGCTCAGGTGTGAGGACCCGAGTTCTGACCCCAGGACCAGCATAGCTGGGGCTTGCTGGCTGCCAGACTAGCCAAAGGAAAGAAAGCCCTCCCTCAAAAGGACTAGGTGAGCCGGGCGATGGTGGCACATGCCTTAAATCCCAGCACTCGGGAGGCAGAAGCAGGTGGATCTCTGTGAGTTCGAGACCAGCCTGGTCTACAAGAGCTAGTTCCAGGACAGGCTCCAAAGCCACAGAGAAACCCTGTCTCGAAAAACCAAAAAAAAAAAAAAAAAAAAAAGGACTAGGTGGAAAGCGGTAGAGGATACCAAGTAGTTGCTTCCTTTGACCTCTGTGAACACAGAAACACACACATAAACATGGTAGCCCACACTGTTTTGGCAGGGGTGGGGTGGGGTGGGTGTGAGACAATTTCTCTAGGCAGCTGTGGCTGTCTTGGAAATTATAAGCTCAGATTGGCCTTGAAGTCATATAGATCCACTGACCTGCCTTCTAAGTACTCACCTTCACACGTGTGTGTATGTACAGTAATAGTATATTTTTTAAAAATATTTATTTATTATGTATACAATATTCTGTCTGTCTGTATGCCTGCAGGCCAGAAGAGGGCACCAGACCTCATTACAGATGGTTGTGAGCCACCATGTGGTTGCTGGGAATTGAACTCAGGACCTTTGGAAGAGCAGGCAATGCTCTTAACCTCTGAGCCATCTCTCCAGCCTAATAGTATATTTTTTAAGGGAAGAAAAACAGATGAAAACAGATACAGGGGTCAGTTTAATGGCTCAGCAGGTAAAGGTGCTTGCCACCAAATCTGACCTGAACCACATACACACACACACACAGGGCACATGCGTACCCTGGTGCCTATGTGAAGGTAAGAGGACAAGCCCAGGTCAGTCCTCTTGACTTTGTTTGAGGCGGAATCTCATTGCCCCCACACACCAGACCAGCTGGCCCATAAGCTCCTCAACATTCTGGCTCCAGCTTTCACCGTAAGCCTGCTGGGATTACCACATCTAGTGCTACGTGGGTCCTGGGGATTTGAACTTAGGTCTTCTTACATACACTGAGCTTTCCCCACTAAGCTCTACAGCCTGAGTCTGAATCCATACTGCGCCGCCATGCTTTTCGCTCCTGCTCTGTTTCCGTTGCACCTTGTCAGAGAGTCTGTCCCTGCTGTTTAGGTCACTGTTGTGCTGCTGTGGGGACACCACGATCAAGGCAACTCACTAAAGCAAGCATTAATTAAGGGATTACTAACTGTCAGAGGATGAGTCCATGAGCATCATGACAGAGAGCATGGCGGGCATGGTGCTGGCACAGCAGTCTTGCATTTTATGCAGAGGCAGCAAGCAGAGAGAAGGAGACACTGGGCCTGACATGGGTGTTTGACACCTCAAAGCCCACATTTCTCCACAAGGCCACACCTAATCCTTCTCAAAATAGTCTGCAACTAGGGACCATACATTGAAATATGGATGAGCTTGTGGGGGGCATTCTCTTCCAGGCACCTGCAGTTGCTGCCGCTGGAGACCCATGCAGCGAGGTAACATCACCACCGTGTCAGCTGTTGCTGGTCGCTCTGTCAGGAGCTGTAGTGCTCTGGAGAATTGCTCCAGTAATTAATGTTTCTGTGCGGGTGTGTGACGTGCTACTTCCTGTTAGAACTCACCAGCCTTCCCTGTCCCAAGGGACTTGGCAGGGGCCATGCGCTGTGTGCTTTGAGGGAGAGACTCAAGGGTTTTGTTTCTTCTGTGTGTCACACGTCTCCCGGCGCAAATGTGTGTGCTAGCCTCGGGTGTCATTCCTCAGGAGCTATCCGCTGGGGTGTTTATGTTATTGCATGTGTTTATTTTTGTGTGTGTGCATATGTATGTGTGTAGGTACACATGACACAGTGCACACCTACCATGTGGTTCCGGGGACCAAACTCAGCTCTGCAGGCCCTGATGGCAGCTGCTTTTGTCCACCACGCCAACTTGCCAGTCTCCCACCTTGATATTTGAGACAGGGTCTCTCACTGGCCTGGGACTCAAGCACATGGCAAGCTCATGTCTGGTTTTTGTGTAAATTCTAAGGCTCCAACTCCAGTCCTCAGAAGCACTGTGCTGACTGCGCCATCTCCCCAGCTAAAGGCTAGGGAGCTTTTGTACACAGCTTTAATGAGTGCAGCTGGTGGAACAGTGAACCGGATGTGGTATCCATCTATCTTCCAGCTCTTGAGAAGCCGAGGGCAGGAGGTTGTAGGTTCTAGGCCAGCCTGTCTCAGAGGGGTGTGCTTGTGCACCTAAGTGGGTGTAGCTAGAGCCATTTGCCTAAAGGAGCTCTTGAAGGAGGGCTGAGTGAGGTCATGGCAGGTAATGTGGGCTGTAATAGGTACCCGCTGCTGGGAAGAGACCTGGGCCTTCTGCATGTGGCTTCCTACTGTGCTGCACCCCAGCATCCGGGTAGAGCCAGCCCTTTATCTTCCCTTCTGTTCTGGATGCCCAGATCAAACCCACTAGATGGAACACGCTCAGGGCAGATGTGCTGGCATATGCTACATCCCAGCCACTCAGGAGGCTGAGGCAGGAAGATTGCAGGTTCAAGGATATCCTTGATAAATATCCTTCAGATAAATGTCTGAAAATAAAAAGGAGCAGCCTGGGCATGTAGCTTGGGCACACATGTTCAAGACCGAAATCTAACCCCAGCACAGAGGGAGGAAGGGAGGAAGGGAGGATTGGTTGGTTCGGGAAGAGCCTTGCACCATGCTGAATGTGGATGGAATTTTTTGTTATTACCCCCCTTAAATAATAGAGTGGAACAAGAATTTCCATAGATCTAAGTTTAGAGCTGATTCCTGAGTATGGAAGGGGCCGCAGCTCTGTTACCAAGTACTAACCAAGTCTGCACAGCGCAAATACAACACCATTTTACACGGGCTGGGGGCAATATTCTGGAGGTATTCTGGAACCCTGTGCCTAGGAGCCATGAGTGTCGTCAGGGCTGAGCTAAGGCTCAGTGGTGGCCCACTTCCTCAGCCCGCACCAGGCCCCTGGTTAAGGATAACTTCTCTGCAAAGCAGAGCAGTGTTGGCTGGTGTTGGTACCATGTGGTGGTGACGGTGGCACCCAAGGCAGTCACGCAGAGCATGAAGCCCAGTTCCCTTTCTGCAGGTCTCCTGGCCGAGCCCCCACTTCTGGCTGCTCATGCCACTGGGACTGGGGCGGCGGAAAAAGGCGCCACCTCTGGTGGAAAATGAAGAGGCGGAGCCAGGCCGCAGCGGACTGGGAGTCGGGGAGCCTGGGCCTCTTGGTGGAAGCGGAGCAGGGGAGTCCCAGATGGGCTTACCCCCACCTCCTGCTGCCCTCCGGCCTCGCCTTGTATTCCACACCCAGCTGGCCCATGGTAGTCCCACGGGCCGCATCGAGGGCTTCACCAATGTCAAGGAGCTGTATGGCAAGATTGCTGAGGCCTTCCGACTACCAGCTGCTGAGGTACAGTGGTCCTGAGAGCAAGCCACAGGCCTGAGAGCAAGCCACAGGCCTGGGGGTACTGTGCATTCCTGTGAACTGGGGGTCAGGTGCTGATGGCATTCGATCACCAGCAACCTCTGAATCTAGGAAGCATGGCTGCAACAGGATACTTAGTTCGTGTCTGGCCTTGAGAGACCCCAGTAGGTATGTGGGGGGTGGGTTTCCCATCAGGCCTTGAGAGAGCTCATACCCTAGTAGGATGTGGGGGGTGTAGATGCTGATTTCCCTTCAGGTCTGGAGTAGTCTGCAGCCTGGTAGGTTGTGGAGGCTTGGTGACCACAAGTGATAACTGGGTTTCTACGAGGCATTAGGAGGCCTGTGCCCCAGAGCACAATGGGAACTGGAAGTCAGGAGCAGTTTTTATTTCTCCGTGATTCACTGGGGACATGACCCCAAGACAGAAGCAGAGAAGCCACAGGGAGAGCAGCAGTGGGGCTGAGCATTAAGTGGAGACAGGTGGAAGGCTAGGTGGGAATCTGGACTCCTTCATTCATCCCCAGCATTTACTGAGTGTTCACTGAGTTCTGACCAGGACAGGAGTCCTGCTCATAGCACTTGATGAGCCAGCAGACCCTGCCCTGGTTCTGGGTGTCACCATTCCCTGGGGTAGGTATCGTCTCTGGACTCCCCTCCTATCCCAAGTGTTAGGAAAGGGGACCCAGGGAGGAGGGGACGAGCATCTTGTCCCCCTCCCCCTGCAGGTGATGTTCTGCACCCTCAACACCCATAAAGTGGATATGGACAAGCTCCTGGGAGGCCAGATCGGGCTGGAGGACTTCATCTTTGCCCACGTTAAGGGGCAGCGCAAAGAAGTGGAAGTATTCAAGTCTGAGGAGGCACTGGGGCTCACCATCACTGACAACGGGGCCGGCTATGCCTTCATTAAGGTGCCTGGGTGGGTGGCACACCCTTAGTCAGTGGTCAGAGTCTGTAATGGGACCTCAGTGGAGCTTCCAGAGCTGACACCTGCCCCTTCACAGCGCATCAAGGAAGGCAGTGTGATTGACCACATCCAGCTCATCAGCGTCGGTGACATGATTGAGGCCATCAATGGGCAGAGCCTGCTGGGCTGTCGGCACTATGAAGTTGCCAGGCTCCTCAAGGAACTTCCCCGAGGCCGCACCTTCACCCTCAAACTCACAGAGCCTCGAAAAGCCTTTGGTGAGCAAACCTTGAACCACCCACTGGGATGACCTTGAACACTTCAAAAATATGGCTTGCAGTACTGGGAACCACCAGCAGGTGGCACCCAAGCTGTAATGCAAAGTGGAGCCTGCCCCACCCTACCCTAGAACTGGGTGCTGGCTGGCAGCCCAGCCTGAAGGAAGTTGCCCCCAACCCTGGCCAGCCCCCTCAGCCTGGAGAAGTGAAGCTTGGCTGCCCTGCACAACTCCCATGCCCTGCTGCTTTTTCTACCTGGCTTCACTAACTCTCAGGAATGGGCCTGAGGCGCCCCTGGTATGGGTAGATAGGACTGATCTGGGACCCAGTAGTTATACCCACCCCTCCCCAGCTCTCACCCCTTCAAATAGAAGTAGAAGCTGTCCTGGATTCTCTTCTAGCTTCTTTTATGCTCGACCCCCGCAGCCCCTCTCCATTCATGCCAAGTCCTATCCCCTGGAATCCAGCCCCTATCCCAAGGATCATGAGAGGTGTCTGTAAGCTCAGCTGCCTGAGCACTGTACTGACTGTGTGCTGAAATTCCCATAGATATGATCAGCCAGCGTTCAGCGGGTGGCCACCCTGGCTCGGGCCCTCAACTGGGCACTGGCCGAGGGACCCTCAGACTCCGATCCCGGGGTCCTGCCACAGTGGAGGATCTGGTGAGTGAGCCACCTTGGGCCAGTGACAGCATTCTCATTACCTAAGGGACTCTGGACACCTCTGCTTAAATCTGCCTCCTCCCAACCAAGGGCCTTCCTTGGGCAAGTGAGACTTGGTTTTCCTACTGTAAAATAGGAGTCCTAGTAACTTCCTGTCAGAGTGGACCTTAGTGATGCAGACAGAAACCACATCTAGGCATGTCTCAGGCAGGAGGATTTCACATTCAAGGGTAACGCAAACCACAAGAGCTTGTCACCAGAAAGGAGATATGTGAGACCCAGCCCAGTGTGGACAGGGACCTGTAATCCTAGATACCTGGGAAGCTGAGATCTGAGGGTTTAGGGTTCAAAACCAGTTTGGGCAACTTAGAATTTGTCTCAAAATAAGAACAATAATATCTGAATGCTGGGGCTGGAAAGAGGCTCAGCAGTTTAGAGTACGTGCTGCACTTGAAGAGGACCCAGGTTCAGTTCAAGCACCCATATTGGGTGGCTCACAACCACCCTTAACTCCAGCTCCAGGGCATTCGGCTCAGTGTCCTTGTCTGACCTCCTCAGGCTCACACTCCTACACATAAAATAAATAAATTTAAAAAGTAGCTGGGGGTGCAGTCCATTGGCAGAGCTGTTGCCTCGCGTGTGAGGCCCGGGTCCTGTCCCCAGCACTGTAGACATTCACTGTAACAGCTGTCTGCTCCCCTCCACAGCCGTCGGCCTTCGAGGAGAAAGCCATTGAGAAGGTGGATGACTTGCTGGAGAGCTACATGGGGATCAGAGACACAGAACTGGGTGAGTGGGGGCAGGCTTCCAGGTCTCATCCAGGCTGAGTTGAACCTGCACCCTCTGTCGCTCACGCCATCTGTGTCCGTCTTTCTCCTCCCTGACAGCTGCCACCATGGTGGAGCTGGGAAAGGACAAGAGGAACCCAGACGAACTGGCAGAGGCTCTGGACGAACGGCTTGGTGACTTCGCATTCCCCGACGAATTCGTCTTTGATGTCTGGGGGGCCATCGGGGATGCCAAGGTTGGCCGCTACTAAGACTGGAACTGAACCTGGACCTTGAGATAACCTGGGCTTGACCTCCAGAAGGGGTCCCACAGCCAAGACCTGAGCATCCAGCTTGGGCACATAACCCAGCAGCCTGGGGATGGCATGGGGTAGAAGTGGCCTGTGGTCCTGGCCGCACTCCGATCACCAAGGTGCCCAGCCTGGTAGGGGTCGCCGGCCACCCCCTGGCGGGTTCCCCACCTACCTCAGCAGAGTAAGCATGTGGGGAGGAACGAGCACACTGGGCAACCAACCACCTCTGTCCCCAACACTTTCCACTGTCAGCTGGCAAACTGCCCCTTCCTGTCTCCTGGGCCTCAGTTCTGTTTTAGGTTTCCCTATTCTACTTTTTTGCTTTGTTTTTCAAGACAGTCTGATGATGTGGCTCTGGCTGTCCTGAAACTCACTCTGTAGACCAGGCTGGCCTTGAACGCACAGAGATCCGCCTGCCTCTGCCTCCCAGTGCTGGGATTAAAGGTGTGCGCCACCATGCCTGACTCTCCCTACTTTCTTGACAACAGAGTTGCAGAAATGGGGCACAACCCTCCTAGTAAAGGGAATATTACCACCCCCTTCGGCAGCTCCCTGAGAGGAGCCCCTAAATTGGATTCTGTTACCTGTCCTTTGAGTGCACACTGCTGTGAACCCGGGTTCCTCATCATCTCCTTAGACAGTGCCGGAGGGAGGGGTGAGCAAGGCAGTGGGCTCCTGTACCCCACTTACTCTCTTGGACCCCACTTACTCTCTTGGATATAGACTCTCTCTGGGAACTGTTTGTCTTTGGGGTAGAAGGGGTGGCAGGGAAAGAATGCGGCAGCTGAAATCTATCTCCTGGATTCCAGATTGAATTAAGAGTTGGCTGGCCCACGGCGCCTCCTCTGGCTGGAGGCCCTCAAGCTCCCAGGCAGTGGTAGGGATTCTGGCTTACTTGAGGTTCAGACCTGGTTCCCCACTCACCAAGGCCTCCCGTGCCCCTTATGAGGAGACTGCAGCTAACACCTCTGTGGAGGCAGCAAGGCCTGCTGCCCTCCTGCAGCACCCTGGGTGAGGCTGGTTGTATTTTGGACACAGGCATCCATGCCCAGTGCTTCACAGGGATATAAACCTGCCAAGCTTGTTTTGACAGTACTTTTCATCCTAGGATTTAGAAAGATCAAGGAAAGGGTGGGGTGGGACCCTGGCCAGACCTGGAGAGCAGGGAGAGAGTGAGGGAAGCCAGGCCAGAGGTCCCTCTCCAGCACCCAGGAGGAATGTTTGGGGGTGAGCCCAGTGGAGATGCTGCAAGAAGGCTGAGCAGGACTGACTGCCTGACTCCAGGCAGGAGATGCGGACTCTGGATACCAGACATTGACATGCACAAGTCCTACGGACAGCCACTGTCAGGGTGACTTGCTATCCCTGACCACTGAGGTCATGGCCTCACACGTGCTAGGCTGTGCTCTGTCGCTCAGCTGTGCCTCAGGTCCTGTACTGGGGTCTTGCATGTCTCTGATGGGAGCTGCTGGGAATGTGGCTTTGCTGAGTGGATAAGGGCTGGGTCCTCTGAGTTTCAGGGAGCTGTGGGGTGTTGAGTGTGGTCATGTAGCTGTGTCCACTGTGTGCATAGGTCTTGGTGTGTCCTTGTTTGGGAATCAGTAAACAGCTAGGCCTTAAGAGTGTCTAGAGATGTGATTATGTGACGTAGGCGGGGCAAGGTCTGGGTGCCCATAGGCATTGGTTTGTGGGGTAATGTCTCCAGGAGGTGTGCCCTAGGACTGTAACAGACTTACAGTGTCAAGTGAGGTTTATACCCTGTGCTAAGGTGTGGGCAAACATCTGTCCCAAGGGGTCTGTATTGGGGGGGTACTAAGGGAGTGGATGTTAAAGTCAACAATGGTGGGAGCTATCCAGTGTTTATTTGCCATCATGACTGATTGGACAGTGACTTCATGTTCCACTTCTTAAGACGTAAAGTGAGGCTGTAACTGTGGGTGCAGGATGTGGTTCAGGTGCCCTACAAATTGCTTACCCCACCCTAAAGCAGGATGCCGGTGCTAGCCTGACTCCTCTGAGCCATTTAGCCACCTCCCTTTCTCCAAGAATGACTCCCTGTTGCCCTGGTCCGGGCTGCTCACCTACATCCACCCTGTGACAACCTCAAAGGCTTAAGAGCAGACAGCATTGCTGGTTCCTATCACACAGCTCGTTCCCAAACCTTAAACCCCATGGGGATAGCACCCCACCCCACCCCCATGAGAGTGTGTAGACCTCCCAGCCTGCCCTAGGCGATGCTCACATTTTCCAGTGTTTAGATTTTATCCACTTTATTAATGAGGCAGGCAAGAGGCCCGGGTGAGGGTGTGGGGGGTTGCTTCTGCCTCACTGGGAGGAGGGGGTCACAGAGACCAGACCAATTCAGAGAACCTCAGTCCTTGGCGGGAAGAAACTGAGCCCAAGTGATCCTGACCATTGCCAACAGCAGAGGTTTCGCCCACTCCCAGCTCCCAGCCCCAGCGGGCAGACATGCATGGGGTGGAGCAGCCCCTGGAGGCCAGTGGGGTGCGGGTGGAGGCGGCACAGAGCCGAGGAGCCGCCCCAGGAAGAGGGAGCGGCCTGCCGGGAGCCAGGGAGCAGCTGGCGCTGGCAGCAGGAGCCTAGTTCTGGGCCATGGGGATCCTGCATCCTGAGCAGCACTGGGTAAGAAGCCGGGACTTGAGGGTCGGTAAGCAGGGAAGAGGAGAGCATTGGCCATCGTGGTCTCACTGTTCATGGCTCTCAGCCCAAGGCTGGCTGTCCATCCGTTATGTCTGCATGTCTGCTTTAGCCCTCTCAACTAGAGAATGAAGAACAAGCCAGAGGCTGGTTCACAGTAGGAGTATGGGGTGGGCATCTGAATGGGGCAATGCCAGACTGCTGAGAGATTGCCATGGAGACAGAGGTGTGACTCTGGCAACAAAGACGGGACTCTAGAGAAAGGTGGGCCCACGGAGTCCAAGAGCAGCGAAAATGGGTCCATGGAAGCAGGGGTCTGTGGGAACAGGAACATGGAGGCCAGAGATGTGGCTACAGGGCATAGTGACCTTGGGGCACAGAAATGAGTCTTTAAGTATAGAGATGGCTTGTTCCGGGAGAGATGAAACTGGAGATCAAGAGTGCGTCTCTGGAGACAAGGACATGGCCACTGGAAGAGATAGGCTATAGTAGTGGAGCTGTTGGGATAGGGACGTCAAGGAAGAAAAGATGACCAATAGCTGGTCATGGTGGTGTGAGTCTTGAATCCCAGGACACAGGTCTCACAGGCAGGTGAATCTCTTTAAGGCCAGCCTAGTCTACACAGCCAGTTCCTGGGACAGCCAAGGAGACTTACTAAAAAGGAGAGGAGAGTGGGCAGACATGGTGAAGGCTGGAGTTGGGTCAGAAGTGGGTCGGGGTCTATTCCATGAGGCCATAAACCAGGAATCTGATGCACTAGAAGGTGGGGAGCCGGGGAGATGAGGAAAGATACTAAGAATGTCTGACAGATCAGTGGAGTTCCCAAAGCAGTAGACCGATGTAGGGGCAGAGTGAGGACAGGCACAAGGCATGGGGCAGTGATAGATAAAGAGGGATCTGAAATGGCGCAACCAGGGTCATGTGGAAGTGCCCTAGGCACAGAGCCCACATTGTTGCATGGATCCTGATGGTGGTGGGACCCTAGCCTTACTGTGTCCTCCTCTTATCTACCTAGCCCTCTTGGCCACTGATATGAGCCCCTGTGGGCTTAACGTGAGCCTAGCGGATGAGGCAACAGCGTGCGCAACACCCAGGGTCCCCAACACATCTACAGTGCTGCCAGGCGATTCCGGCACATCACCGGCGCTGCCTATCTTCTCCATGACCCTGGGTGCAGTGTCCAACGTGCTGGCCCTGGCGCTGCTGGCGCAAGCTGCAGGTCGTCTGCGGCGGCGCCGCTCAGCTGCCACTTTTCTGTTGTTCGTTGCTAGCCTGCTAGTCATTGACCTGGCAGGCCATGTGATCCCGGGGGCGCTGGTGCTTCGCCTGTACGCTGCAGGACGTTCACCTGCTGGCGGGGCCTGTCATTTCTTGGGCGGCTGCATGGTCTTCTTTGGCCTATGCCCACTCTTGCTTGGCTGCGGCATGGCCGTGGAGCGCTGCGTGGGTGTCACGCAGCCACTGCTCCATGCGGCGCGCATGTCAGTGGCCCACGCACGCCTGGCACTAGTCGTGCTGGCTGCCATGGCTTTGGCAGTGGCGCTGCTGCCGCTAGCACACGTGGGTCACTACGAGCTACAGTACCCTGGCACCTGGTGTTTCATTAGTCTTGGACCTCGTGGAGGTTGGCGCCAGGCATTGCTTGCTGGCCTCTTCGCCGGCCTTGGCCTGGCAGCGCTCCTTGCGGCACTCGTGTGCAATACGCTCAGCGGCCTGGCGCTCCTGCGAGCCCGCTGGAGGCGTCGCAGCTCTCGACGTCTCCGTGAGACCACAGGCTCCGATGATCGCCGGCGCTCCGAAGATCGCCGGCGCTGGGGGTCCCGTAGACCACACTTGGCCTCCACCTCGTCTGCCTCATCCATCGCTTCAGCCTCCACCACCCTCCGTAGCTCCCGGGGCGGCGGCTCGGTGCGCAGGGTTCGCACGCACGACGTGGAGATGGTGGGCCAGCTCGTGGGCATCATGGTGGTGTCGTGCATCTGCTGGAGCCCCCTGCTGGTGAGGGGCAGTTGCTCCTCCAACCATACTCCTTCCTAACACCCCCCCCCCTCCGCTCCCTTATCACCCTGCCTGCACAAAAAGCCTTACCCCTCTGTCTTATCCCTCTGCTATCCCCGGCTCTACCTTCGCACTCTTTGGATCTTACTCCGATTCACTCAAGCTTCTTAGTTCGTCCCCCAGCTTCATTCATTTCTAGCCTTCTTCCTCCCCAGCGTTTTATTTTATTTTAGTTGTTCGAAACAAGGTTTCTCTGTAGCTTTGAAGCCTGTCCTGGAACTATCTCTTGTAGACCTGGCTGGCCTCCAACTCACAGAGATCCGCCTGCCTCTACCTTCTAGTGCTGGGATTAAAGACGTGCGCCACCAGCGCCTGGCCCTCCCCAGCTTTTTTTGTTTTTGTTGTTTTTTTTTTTTTCTTTTTTCGATGCAGGGTTTCTATGTGGTTTTGGAGCCTGTCCTGGAACTAGCTCTTGTAGACCAGGCTGGTCTCGAACTCACAGAGATCCGCCTGCCTCTGCCTCCCAAGTGCTGGGATTAAAGGTGTGCGCCACCACCGCCCAGCCCTCCCCAGTTTTTTTACCTTTCTTTTGTCCTGTGTGCTAGCAAAGCTGGTCTTCCCTAGTCTCCTTCCCACACAGTATTTGCCCTGCATAGCCCGCCCACCCCTTCTTTCACATGGTTCACGCCTGCTTTTCTCACAGGTGTTGGTGATGTTGGCCATCGGGGGCTGGAACTCTAGCTCCCTGCAAAGGCCGCTGTTTCTGGCTGTGCGCCTCGCGTCGTGGAACCAGATCCTGGACCCGTGGGTGTACATCCTGCTGCGCCAGGCCGTGCTGCGTCAACTGCTTCGTCTCCTGCCCCTGAGGGCCGGTGCAAAGGATGGCCCAACAGAGCTGGGCCTAACCAAGGGTGCCTGGGAGGCCAGTTCATTGCGTAGCTCCCGGCACAGCGGCTTCAGCCATCTCTGACTATGCCCAGAAGCTAAGCCAAACCACTGGGCAGGGTTCAAGGGTGTAGAGAGCTTCAAACACTAACATGGGCGATGTGTCCTGTGTGGCGGGAACACACACTGTGACCGTTCTTTAGTGAAAGAGGCTCCGCCCAGACGAGTACAATTCTAACGTTGGCCACGCGGTGGCGCAGACACATTAGGATGTTCCAAATATCAGAGGTGGGATCCTCAGATCAGCAGCTCCAAAAGCATGAGCACTACACTAAATCCATAGTTCTGAGATCAGAGATCCCCACAAATGCTGCGAGGTTTTGGGTCCACTTCCTGTCTCTGCCACCGCCTTGCAACCAAGCATTCTCCTCATTTTGTTCTCTGTCCTAACCTTGTACCCACTACAGCCTTAAAACCCCAACGTTCTCTACCAACACAGCCCTGAGCACCGTCCTCATCCCCCCCCCCACTAATGCATGTTCACAGCTTGACCGTTCAATTGAGCCCTAGCACAGTTCTGTCCCCCCTGAGTCTGTCTGCCTCCATCACCTGCTCCAAGTACACCCCACCCCAGATTGCACACAGAGGCTGAAAATGCATGTATGGGGTAAACCCCAAAGACCTTTTTAAAACCAAGAACTCTTGGGCAAGGCAGGGGCTTGGGGCTAGTAGCCTCCTGCCACAAAGTCGAAATCCCGGAAGGCAGCCTGCTCCGCAGCTGTGAGGGGCCGCGCATCCCGGGGTGGGCTCAGCGTGGGCGCCTCCCCAGTGAACTCCTCATCGAAGTTGCTGACGTCTGTGCGCCCCGAAAGTGTAGGCACGAAGGGTGGGGGCAGGCGACGAGCCAACAGGACATCCCAGCCCAGCGTCTGTGCAGAGAAGGACAGAGAGTCATGATGGAGGATGCAGGGAAGTCTGGAGACCAGCAGGAAGTAGACAAGGTGCAGAGGGACTAGAGCTCAGATCAATCAAGGGAGTCTGGGGTAGCTCAGGTTAGCCCTGTAATGCCATGGGCCTGGATTAGCAGTGGGAGTAAAGAGGGGAATGAGGGGTGCAGACAAAAGGAGCTAACCTTTGAGAGGAATCATGGTGGCCGGAGGGGGGGGGTAGGGGGGTGGGGAATACAATTCTTGAGATGGAGCAACTAGATTTGGGGTGAGAAACACCCAGGTCCTTGGGGTGACTGACAGGGTGGGGAAGGAGTCTGCTCACCCTGAAAAAAGGCTGTTTTTTCACATCTTCTGCGTCCCGCTCCGTGGCTCCCAGCCTCCGCTCTGGGTTCCTCCGCAGCAGCTGTGAGACAGGTGCATGTCAGTGGATCCGAGTCCTGTGCCTCAGAACCCTTTGCTGCCCACCTTGCTCTTTGTGGTAGGGGGTATGCTTACCCTTCTCATGATGCCAATGGCCTCTGCTGACAGGAAGCGGGGATAACGAACCTCATCGTTGACAATACTGTCAAAAACCTCCTCCTCGTCGTCCCCAGGGAACGGAGACTGGAGGGCAGAGAGAGTCAGGTTGAGCAGACCCCCACTTTTAGCCAGTCCAGCTCACCCAGTACTACCCAATGACTCTACCCCTACCCCTACCCCTGGGGGTGTCCCAGAGCTGGCTTACAGAGGGTAAGTATCTCGTTTTAGTTACAGAAACTGAGATCAGAGAGGCAAAGCTAACATAGCAGGAGCGGATTCCCATCCCACACCGGGGCACATGCATGTTCTCTACAGAAAAAAAGGTAGCCTAGGCCTCACCTCCCCAACCAGCATCTCATAGAGCAACACGCCCAGTCCCCACCAGTCCACCGCTCGCGTGTAGGATGTGTCTGTCAGCACTTCGGGCGCCAGGAACTCTGGGGTTCCACAGAATGTGCTGGTCCGGTCTCCATAGCCCATCCCTGGGTGGGTGGAATGCAAGGCCATGTGAGCCACCAGTGGCTGGGGGGTGGGGTAGAGCATGAGACACTCCAAATAGCCTAGCCAGCCCTACCCCTAGTCAGTATAGGGAGACCCGGGGAGGAGGGGCTAAAGCTGGCAAACTACCCTGAAGCTCTTAGGGTGAGTATGTGCCTGCAAGCAAAGCCCATAGAGAAGAGCATGTCACCTGACCACCCCTAGTCCTCTCATCCCAGGATTGCAGCCCCTCACCCTCCTTGCAGAGGCCAAAGTCTGCGATCTTGACGTAGCCCTCAGTATCCAGGAGCAAATTGTCCAACTTCAGGTCCCTGGGGAATGGGGGTGTCAGGGGATGTAAAGAGGGGTGATTGGGAGTGGGGGCTTTGTACAGAGCTTGAGCATGTCCAGTCTACGGGCAGAACGTGCTCTCGTGTACACACCTGTAGACAATCTTGTGTTCATGGAGGAACTGCAGCCCCAGCACCACACAGGCGGAATAGAAGCTGCAGAGACGCACAAGTTCACACAAGCCTGGCTCCACCGGTGCCAAAGTCCCTAACCCCTGGGGTCCCAAAGCTCTGTGGGTGGCAGGGTGGGAGGCAGGGTGGAGGGTGGGAGGCAGGGAGGAGGGGCGGGGCCTCCAGTGATGGGCAGGAAAGAAGACTCACACGGCCCGCGGCTCGGAGAACACATCGCTGTGGATGTGCAGCATCAGGTCTCCGCCCGCTGAGTACTCCATCACAAAGCACACGTGCTCTGGGGTCTGGAAACAGCCGAAAAGGTTCACCAGGAAGGGATGTCCTGCCCTGGTCACGGCCGCCAAAATCCGCTTCTCACACATCAAGCTAGGCAGGAGGCAGAAGTCAGAGGGCCCAGCCGCTCCCTGACCTGCGCCCATGCCCTCTGGCGCTCACAACAGGTGTCTGTTGAGGACCTGCTTTACTGTGCAACTTTGGGCGTCGTGGCTGCTACACACCCACAATCTACACATTGTCTTGGGAAGCAGGTGAGGGCACAGGCTCAGGCTGGTCAGAGCAGTCCAAGTGCGTGCTGGCGACTGGATTAGGGACAGCACCCGTGTGGACTAAAGCAGGTGGAGGACCCTGGACTAAAGCAGGTGGAGGACCCGGGTCCGAACTTGGGGCGGAAAAGCTTCAGTCTGTGAGAGGACCACAAGCACAGCCCACAAAGGAGCACACAACCAGAAACGTCACCAAGCACCTGCACACAGCGCCTTAAGGCAGACATGACGGCTTCTCTCCAGAGCAGTAAATAAATCCCTCTTACTCATTTAAACTTTGGATCAGGTTCCTGGTTATTACAGAGGTGCCTGGGAAGTCTTGAGACAGCCTGATGCCTCTAGAGGGTCAAGGACCGTGAAGAACACTTTAAATAGACCTTCTTCCTTGATCCACCAGACAACTCTATGCGGAATGCATTTCCATGTGTATTTGATGGTTAGATCAGGAGACTGAGCTCTGAAGGGAGGCCAGCTTTTCCTAGCATCCGGGGGGCACGGGTGACAGAGGCATCTTACCTGGGATCCTGACCCCAAAACTGAGGCAGTCCCACATCCCTACAGTTTACAGTTTGGTCCTGAACCTCCTGCCTACTGTGTGACCTCTGGCAGACTGTTAACCCATGAGCAGAGTGGGAGATAGTAACAGCATTCACTCTGGAAGGGGAGAAGAGTGAGTCGTAGTACCTCTTTTTAAGTCTTAGGTAAGAGGGTTGTAAGTTCTAGTACCATGAGTCTCTCACTGAAATGCTCAATAGTGACTATTCTTGGGCTGTTTCCTAGAAATCCTCAAGGGCCAGGATAGGGCCTCACCTCTCCACCTCGTCTCGGGCTACTATGTCACCTTTCTTCAAGGCTTTGATGGCAAAGAGCTCCCCACTAGAGCGAAATTCAGACAGCAGCACCTGTAACACAGTGGGCACAGGAGCCTTAATGGACACCCTGGGCCCTTGGAGGAAGACCTCTGAGCCCATAAGTCCTTCCCCTGCCTCACCTTCCCAAAATGACCCCGGCCCAGCACTGCCAAGAACTTGAAGTCCTCAAGCATCAGGGGTGACTTCCTCAGGGGGCTGTGGAAGAAGGGAGCTAGTGAACTCAGAGAGTAAGCAGGAATGCGGGGGTGGGGAGGGAGGGGTATCACCTGCACGGGCCAGGGCCTGGGGTCTCCTGGGTCTCTGAAGGCAGCTCTGGAGAGGTGGTGGATTCATGGGTTGAAGAACTCTGTGGTGCAGAGGTCATGGTAGCCACAAGTCAGAATTATCCCTAAGAGCCAACAGGGCCCGAGCTACTCCCTCCCCTCCTCTTCCCGTGCCTGACCCACACTCCGCCCCCAGGACCTTTGCCTTCACACTGACATGATTTCTTTGTAGGACTAGGGAAGAACCTAGTTCCTACACATGGTTACACGTGGTACCCCCTGGCACTATTTATTTTCTTTGAGCAGGTTCTCACCAAATTGCCCAAGCTATCTCTTGGACTTGTGATCCTTCTGCCTCAGCCTGCTGGATAACGTGGACCCCAGGCTTGCATCACCAGGCCCAGGTCCCTCCTCTGTAACCCTTTACTTAGATTACCTGTGCAGGCATCAGATGACTCCTGACTGAAGAACAGGGCCCCTTGTCCATCTCTGCTCCATTTTCCTCCCAGTATACTTCATATTTACTGGTTTCAGCCTAGACAGACTGATGGACTGATGGACTTGGACTGGGCATAGAATGCAGGACTCACACTTGCGAGGTGAACGCTCTGCTACAGAGCTCCATCCCGGCCTAGCCATGCCACGTGAACATCTGACTGAAAACAATCAGGCCTGGGGCAGCCTTCAAAACGGCTCAGATAAGGAAAGGTGCTTCCTGTACCAAGCCTGGTGTCCTGAGGTAGACCCCAAACCCACATAGTAAAAGGACAGAATCAATTCCTACAAGTTGTCCTCTGATCCCCACACTTGTGAGGTGCAACACATATGCACCCCCCCAAAAAAAACAACATACAAACACATATATTGAAAGAGAAAGAGAATTAGGACCTGAGGGTGCCGCTCATATGAGACCCCAGGTTCTATCCCCTTTTCCAAAAGGAAAGAGGTGACAAGTAGGTACTATAGTCAGGTGCTGGGACACAATCTCAGCACTCAGGAGGCTGAAGCAGCATGATGCAAAAAGAAACGGGAACTGGGCCAACAACGTAACATGGTGGGTAAGGCACCTGTCGACAAGTCTGACTTGATTTTGAGTCCTGGGCCCCACAGGGTGGAGGGAGAGAACTGAGTTCTGTAAGTTGTTCCTCTGACCTCCATATGAGTGCTCACACATTCACACAAAATAAATAGAAAGATTAAAAACTTGAAAAAGAAGCCAGGCATGGTGACACACACTTTTAATCCCAGTACTCAGGAGAGAGAAGGCAATTTCTGTGAGTCCAAGGCCAGCCTGGTCTCATAGTGAGCTAGGGCTATACAGAGAAACCTTGTCTTGACAAATCCAAAACAAACAAATAAACAAATAGATGAATCTAAGAGGAAAATAGATAAATGTTGAATGCTGGTGGCCAGCCTATGGATATATAGCCTATCAAAGCTGGAAATGGCTGGAGGCAATGTGGCTGTTTGAAAGAAAACGTCCCCCAAAGGAAGTAGCACTATTAGGAGGCGTGGCCTTGTTGAAGTGGGTCACTGTGGGGACGGGCTTTAAGGAATCGTTTGCTCAAGTTTCAATCAGTTTAACACTCACACCACTTCCTGTTGCCTGCAAGATGTAGGACCCTCAGGAACTTCTCTAGTACTATATCTGCCTACACGCCTCCATATCCCACCATGATGACAATGGTCTGAACCTCTGAACTGTAAGCGAGTCACCCCATGAAATGTTTTCCTTTATAGGAGCTGCCAAGGTCATGGTGTCTCCTAACTAAGACAAGGGAAAAAGAACAGGAGCATCTGGTTACCCGCAGGAGTCCTGTCTATGACACCACTACTCTCCCGGGCAGCACTCAACAGCTCGCAGAGCTGCGCCAGCTCCTTGACTCTACACAAACACCATGACCACAGAACTGAGCAAGCTCATGATAGCTGCACTCCCATCAAGAGAGCAACAAAATCTGTCTTTGATATAAATTGATTTGTTTTCTTTCATGTTTTAGACCAACAGCTCTGTAACTGGACTTAGACCTGCTCAACAAAATATGCCAGGTACTGGAAACCCAGCTAACTACCCAGAGCTAGAGCCTGGAGGAAACCTATAGCCACCATTGTACTGAACCAGCACAGTCTCTGACTATATACTAAATATTTGTCCTTACACTCACAGATAAGTAGTCCTCGCCCCTCATGAAGGAAACCTCTCTTTGCTATGGATGGAGACCACTACAGAAACCATAATCAATCAGAATGCAGAGGTGTGGAGTCCAGTTCCAGTGGACACCTCTATAAAACACTCCCACACCCAAGACTCAGGGGACTCTGTGGAAGGGGTGGTGGTAGAATGATTGTAAGAGCCAGAGGATCAGGAAGTTTGCCGTGGGCTATCTCCTGCAGGTGGCAGAAGCTAGCCTGTAAAGTCTCAACAGCTGTGAGCTGAACATGGACAACAATAGGCATGCCAAAGAGGCTGGGGAAAAGGCCACGAAGCCTCAGCTCTACTCAAAGAACTACAGCAACTAAACTATGCTTAGAGTAAGAGAGATAAGTCTTTCCCTGGGAAAAGCACACTAACTGGTTACCCAATATCAAATGATCAGCCTTGGAAACATACAAATATTTGACATTATCAAGGATGAGCAGATTGTATGTAGGAATATGTAAATAGTCACACATACATACATACATGCAAAGCAATTAATGAAAAAAGAGGTCATGAATTTGAAAGAAAACAAGAAGGGGTCTACAGAAGGATTTAAAGGGATAAAAGGGAAGCGGGAACTGCTATATTATAATCTCAAAAAGAAAAAATGCTCCCCCACAAAAGAACTGTTACCAAGCTGAGGATGACCCGCGTTCCCGAACCCCACCCCTGCTCACAAATGGGCACCTTTTCTGCCCTCTTCTCATCAGCTCAAAGTTTATGTTTCTTTCTTTTCTTTTTTTTTCTTTTCTTTTCTTTTCTTTTTTTCCAGGCTGGAAATGGAACCCAGAGCTGCAAGCACACTACTCAAGAGCTCTTTTGGAGAGCAAATCTCTAGCCCCCAAGCTCACGTGACCCTTACTTAGCTTTGGTTGTGAGACAGGGTCTGGGTATGTAGCCCAGCTGGCTTAGAACTTACTACACAGTCTAGGCTGGACTCCAGCAATGCCCCTGCCTCAGCCACCTCTTGCTGGGATGGTATGCTGGCACCACTCTGCCCAGCTTCCCAGCTGACAATTTTAAGCTAGGATAGAAAACAGTCAAGGTCCTAGGATGTTGTTCAGTTGGCAGAGCATCTGCCTAACATGCAGAAAGCCCTGGATTTCACCATTGGCAACCTAGAGACCAGGCCTGGGAATCCCACCACTCAGGGGACAGAGGCAGGAGGATCAGGAGTTCAAGAGTTCAAAGTCTAAACTATATTGAACAAAACCAAACAAAAAGCCTGGTTCTGCTGTGCGATCCCTGGTTAGCTCCTGCAGGCTTCTGAAAGAGCAGCAGGTTCCCTAGGCCGCCCTGCCTAGCTGCGGGTTCCTAGGCCGCCCTGCCTAGAGGAGGTGGGCACTCACCAGGCTGCATAAAGTGGGGGGCACCCCTGAGGGGCTCTTCTGGGATGAGCTGTCTGAGTCAGCACCAAGGTTCAACTTCTCCATGGATATATCTCTGAAGGAGGGGGAGGAAGATGAGTTGGGGACCTAGTACCTTGGAAACAAGGGACAGGTGAGACTGGGGCCATCCTCCTTCCTTACCCAGTGTTCCGAACCTCAGAACCTGGAGATGCGTTGGGACTGAAGGTGCCCGTGGTGACAGAATTAGGGATGAGTCTCCGGAGGAGCCTCACCCAAGTTGCCACATCAATGTTCATCTGTCTGGCACGCTGAAATGCCTTCCCTAGGAGAGCAAGGCTAGGATCACTACCTGTGATGTCCTGAGGGTCCCTGGCTCCGACTCGGCTCACTTGGGCCACTTCTTACCTTGCTGCTTGGAGAAAATTTTTTTCTGACGTTGTAGCCTAGGGATCCGCTCAATGATGGGGTTGCGAAAGGTGACCTGTGGGGACAAACATGCTCAGCTGCAATGGTCTCAGGAGCAGAGGCACTCATCACCTGAAGTATGGGCACTAGGCCTCTCTGAGGGCAAGTGGCTTGACTCTAGCTGCCAGGTGTAAAGCTGACCTTTGGCAGTGACTATGCACAGCCAATGACCTCCCTCCTGAACTCACTACTGATGGGGTCCAAGCCTGATGACCTGTGGGGAAGAGGGAAGATGACATCACTACAGACCTTACTCGTCCCTCTGTCTCCCTATCGGCATGAGAGCAGCTCCGTTCCATGTTGTGCTTTGCCACTAACTTAGTGGCAATGGGGGGAACGGCTATGATCGGAAACCATGAACCCAAAGAAATCTGCTTCCTCTAAGTTTATTTCTCCTGGGTATTTTGTCAAGCAACAGAAGCTGATGACTATGGAGGAGCAACACCACTCCCTGCTGGCCTTCGGAAGTGCTCACTCTGACAGAAGCGACTGGAGGAGAAGTCTATTCTGGCGCACAGTTTAGGGAACATAGTTCATCATGGAAGAAAGACATGGTGGCTAAGGCAGTGGGGTCCACAGTGGCAGAAGACGAAAGCACAGTTACTTCTCAGAGGACCAGGAGGCAGAAAGCTAGCAGGAAGAAAGCCTGACTATAGTCCTCATAGTCTGTCCACTAGTGACACACACTTCCTGAAGCTTCTAGAACCTCTCAAAATGGCCAGCAGCTGGGGAGCGAGTGTTCAAACTAAGTCCTCTGTGGGGTTGTAATAGTTAATATTAGTTATCAGCCCCCTGCTTCCTGACTTCACTCTCTATCACTGTGACAGCCACCTACAGCTCCTGCTGTCCTGACCTCCCCACCGTGATAAACGAGGAGCCAAAAGAAACCCCCTCCTCCCAAAACTGCTTCTGTGAGGGTGTTTTACCACAGCCGCAGGAAAAGTACTTAAGACAGGAACATCCATGTTCAAACCATAACAGGCTTCCAGCTTGGAAATGGAGGAGGCAAGCAATCAGACCCTCCTGTGGACCAAGAAGCCAGGTGCAAGTCCGGGGACCTGTGTCACATGGCCTACTGAGTGTGGTCGCCGTTGGCCACACGAGCGCCATCTAGCACTGCTGCTAAGATCAGCCGTGTCCCCAGTAGCCCTGTGTATTGAAGATTTAGTCACAAACCTGTGGCTCTATTCGGGAGGTGGCATAGCCACTCGTGAGGGAACCACGATGATTTAGTTTAGTATTCCCAACTCCAACATGTTATAGTTATTGAGTTCTGGATAGGTGCCATGTGTGGAGGTCAAAATTTAAATTCCTCAAAACTTGAGTGAGGTAAAAACTTTGGTTTCCAGTTAGACTAGCCACATTTTTGAGAGTTCTGCCAGGTGCAGCCCTCACTTGCTTTTTGGCCACCAGCAGCATCCGCTTCTACCCGAGTTTGCTGTTGCCGCTGTTCTGCGGTTCTGGGGATGGAAGCCAGAGCTTTGAACACACGAGCCTCGTGCTCCACACTAGGGTCACCACCGAGCTTGGTTCTTTGAGACAGAACTCACTATGTAGCCCAGGCTGGAGTGGCAGAAAATAGGGGTTTGAGGCTTGATTTATGTTTCAGACAGGGTCTCTCTATGTAGCCTGAAACACACTATGCAGATTAAGCTGGCTTCAAACTCAGATCTGCCTGCCTCTGTTTCCAGAGTGCTGGGATTGAAGGTGAGCACCACCATATCCAACTGTTTTGTTTTTAAGGTAGACTCGTTCTCTCTCTCTATCTCTATCTCTATCTCTACCTCTCTCTCTTCTCCTCTTTGGTTTTTCAAGGCAGGATTTGTCTGTGTAGCTTTGGCTGTCCTGGAACTTGCTCAGTGCACCAGACTGCCTCAAACTCAGAGATAAACCTGCTTCTGCTTCCAGAATGCTGGGATTAAAGGTATGTACCACTACCTGGCTTTGGTTTTGGATTTTGTTAAGTCTTTTATATCCCTGGCCTCCTGCTCACCATGTGACTTGAGATTATATGACACTTAGTTTTATTGTTTGTTTAACGTATGGGTGTTTTGCCTGTATGTGTATCTATGTACTATATGTGTACCTAGTAACCAAGGAGGCCAGAAGAGGGTGTCAGAATCCCTACAACTGGAGTTACAGATAGCTGTGAGTAGCCATGTGGGTGCTGGTAATCAAACTTGGGTCCTCTGGAAGAGCAGCTAGTGCTCTTAACTGCTGAGCCATCTCTCCAGTGCCCACATCTAGTTTTATCTGGAATTAGAAATGGGGCCCAGGGCTTTGTGCATGCTAGGCAAGCATTCCCCAACTGTGCCCGCCTCCAGGTCAACATGTAATCTGCTGAGGCACAGTCTTCTGGGACCACATCTCATACGTGGTCCATTACCATTGAGCCTTCCTTATGTGAGCAGTGCTGTTCCTGGCATCATTCCCCACTCTCAGGAGCCTGACTTCCCATGAATGCTCAGAACTATCTGAAATTAATCTCCTCATAATGGACAATCAGGGGCAAGGAGGCAAGACACATCTTGGGGTCAGAAGTCAGGGAGCAAGCTGTACCTCAGCCACCAGGCATCCCTGGGGTTCCATGTCCAGCTGCACCTCATGCCTCTCGTTGTCTAAGAAGTCCTCCAACTTCAGAAATTTGAGCGCACACAGGCCCCTCTGGTCCCTCCAGAACACAGCCAACTCCAGCTCCCGTGCCTCAAGGAAGAAGAATGGGGCCATCCATCATTTCGGGTGTCTGAAGCCCAAACTCTTGTTCCTCTAATCCCATTGTCCCCCAACTCAGCTCACCCTCTCCAGTTCCAGGGTAAAGCTCTGGTCCCAGGCATTGGGGCCGCACGGCTTCCAGGCTGTCTGTCCCACCACTGCATTGTCCAGCTTGAGCACGGTGCTGACCTCAGCTGAAAGCAGGAGAGGGCAGCAGGAAAGGTGGGGCTTGCTCCACACCCTGTCAGTGTCTTTCTAAGGGCCTTGCCTCAATGCCCTGAGAGCTTGTCTTGCACAGTAAAGCCTTTAGTTCAGATTGTGGGTTGGGGAGAAGGGGTTGTTCATTTTGGGGTGTTTACCTTTTGGTTCTAAGATAGACTTTTCCTCCAAAGACCAGGCTAGCCTAGAACTTACTCTGAAACCCAGACCACCGTGAATCCTCCCACCTCAGCATCCCAGGTGTTAGGGTTACAGGCATGTACCACCATGTCAATCCTCATTTTTGTTTGATGTTTTTTGAGATAGTGTTTCATGTAGCCCAGGCTGGCCCTGAACTTCTGCTCTTCTTGCTTCTATCTCCTAAATTCTGGGAGGCTTGTATGACCACACCAGATACGTGTTTGGTTGGTTTGTTTTGAGACAGTCTTGTGTAGCTCAGGCTAGCCTTGGATACATTTTTAGGACGGTTATGAATTTTTCATTGCCCTATCTCTACTTCTAAGCCTGCCAGGGTTGCAGGTGTGTGCTACCACACTTAGTTTATCTAGCGCTGGGACTCAGACTAAGGGCGCCACACATGCTAGGCAAGCACTCCACATAACCTCTGTCCCTCACCTACTGCTGTACCCATCAGTTCATCTCTCTCGTTTCGGCTCAGGAGACGCCAGCATCTTTCCCTAACAAACATGCTCTACTCTAGCACCCGCCGTCCTACTTCCTGTCTCCGAGGGCCTGAAGCTCCCCACGGCCCTCAGTGTTTATCCATGCTGTGGCATGGCACATGGTCTCCTTGCTTCTGAAATTGAATTCTAGTCCACTATTTCTGTTTTCATAAAACACAATGGACATGACTTCTCCCTTCTTGTCATTTTTAAAAACGCCACAAACCGGGTGTCTAGCACCTCAGACCCTCGTTCAGTTCTTTGATGGACACAGAAACTAAACTGTTAGGTCATGTGGTTGGTGCTATTTTCCCCCTTTATGTTTGTTGGGCTTGGGATGGGACCAAGGCCTCAAGCACGCTAGGCAAGTGCCCTCCTCTGAGCCTGTGACCCCATCCCTCTGGCAGAATCTAAGCAGCTCTAGCACTGGTCCAGTCCCCAGCCTGCAGTTTCCCACAGTGGCTATTTCACTTACACTCCCACACCCCATGTAAACAGGTTCCAACTTCTCTATGTCCTTTCTTACGTTTGTGGGCTTTTGTTTTGTCTTGTTATTGTTTTGGTAAGTTATCCCAATGGATGTCACCATTTTATCTATTTAATTTTTATTTTATCTATTTACTTTTATTTTTATGTGTATGAGTGTTTTGCCTGCATGTATGTATATATGTGTACTAGGTGTGTGTCTGGTGCCTGAAGAGGTCAGAAGAAAGTGTCAGATCCCCTAGAATTGGATTTATGGAGGGTTGTGGGAAGTTATGTGGATAATGGGAACCAAACCCAAGGTCCTCTACAAGAGCAGCATGTGCTCTTAACTGCTGAGCCATCTCTCAGGCCTCTCATTTTTATTGTTTACTTATATATGCATATGTATGTGTGCACATGACGTAGAGATCAGGGAGGGCAGAAGAGGGCATCGGGGCCTTGGAGCTACCGTTAAAGCAGTCAGGAGACCCCTGATGCGGGCTGAAGTCCTCTGTAAGCTCAGTACATACTTCTACCACTGAGTCCTCTCTCTAGTGCCTGTTCAGTGGTGGAAAGGTCAGGGCACCTGTGCTCCCAGCTTACTCAGCTGAGGCATGAGTGTCATCACCTGAGGCCAGAATTTGAGGGCAGCCTGGGCCACATAGTGAAATCCTGGCTTTGAATAAACACGCAAACAGACAAATCAATAAATACAATGCTACAAATGCAGACACCCTACCCAGCCACTCACTCACTCGTGTTTTCAGCTTCTCCCTTGAGGCTGCTCCGTCCACTAAGGCTTCCGCTTCGGCTGTAAAGGCCCCGAGCTGGGCGGTTTAAGAAAGGGGTACGGCTGTCGGGGGTTCCAGATGCCCCAGCCGAGAGGGAAGGGTTCCAGGGGATGGTCTCTGGAAGATTCCTGCAGCCTATCACTCGTACTTCCAGGGTCCCTGCAGGAAGGATAGGCTCATGGGAGGCAGGCTAAGGAGACAGAGCAGCGGGAAAAGGACCTCTGCTCATGCAAGCGGCAGCTGAGAAAGGGCAGCCAGTGGGGGCTTTGACACTGCATCAGAGTAGAGGACAAGTAGTCTAAGGAAGCTCAGGGTGCTGACATTTTCAAAGAAAAAAACTGTTGAGGACAGCCAGAAGTAAAGACTAAGGAAGAAAGCAGCACTGTGGGGGCTGTTAATGGCCTGCCACAGGCTGGGGACCGGGCAGAGGAAGGCAGGGCCAAGGAGGAGCGGGGGGCAACAGTCTAGAATCAGAAGAGAGCAAGAAGATGGCTATCAGAGATGAAATGGGGACCAGTATAGGAAGGGGAAGGAGACAATGAGAAGCCTGGAGACCAGGTAAGGAGTCTCAGAGCGAGGCCCAAGGGGGTGCAGCATGGAGCCCACCTGTGAGAGGTGCAGGCTTGCTCAAAGTGCTGTAGTGCGTGGCAGGGAAGGGCCCAGGCAGCATTGCACTGAAGGCTGATGATGAGGCCACAGTAAGCTCCTCCCGAAGTAGCCGTCCCTTGGGGTGATCAGCCGGTAGCTCCCCGAGGCGCCGCTCCAGTGACTCACGCAGCAAGCCCAGCTTTTGGTTAGATTCAGTCAATTTCTCTTGAGCCTGAGGCAGAAGGCAGAGAGCTAAAGACAGGCATAGGCCCCCAAGAACTCACCCACCTCCAGCAACTTCTTCCTCAGGCCTAAACCTCCAACCTATTTGGTCCCATCAGGTGGAACCTTAAAGACTAGGCCTTGCCCCTTGCTGGAGCCAGGACCCACTGAGGCTCCATCCTCACCAAAGCCTTTTCTTTTCTGGTGCCCACCACCTCACTTAAAGTCCAGTCTCTTGCAGGTAGGTGTCCCACCTCTCACAGGCCCCAGTTTAGGCCCCACCCCTTCCCAAGACTCTACCCTGCTCCTAGTTTAGATCTGTCCTGGTGTCTCTCCTCTTTCTTATTGAGGCACCACACTTAATGGCGGCCCATCTAGGTTCCGGCTCCATCCCTCATCATGACTGCTCCTGTTGGATCTCCCTATCTCTCCTGTGTCCCAGACCCGTCCTCCCTCATCTTGAATGCCCCTCCCCTAGTAGAAGCCCTCAGTGTCACCTCGCTGACTGCCTTGCGGTCTGGGGCCTTGGAAGCACTGAGCAGGCGCAGGACATTCTTGGCACCTTCTGCCACAGCATGCTCCACTCTGAAATGGTGTCTCAGCTCCTCAATGCGAAGCTCTACAGCTCCCAGCTCTGGGCCTCCTATGGGCATGGGCCACATGACAGTGGGACAACCTGCAGGATAGCCTGATCCCAGACACACCACGTGGACAGACAGGCACACGCACACCACACACTGCCACCAAAGCGCATCACGGTTTTCCGCTGGAAAGGACTGTCATACTTCCACCAAACTCAAGTCACTCTTACTCAAACACCAGAACCCCTAGGGACATGGTCACCCAAGTACATTCACAGAAATGACACACAGCACACTGTCAGTCTAGACTTAGGAACAGACATTGTAACAGCCCTTGTGAGTCCCAGGGAATAACACGGGACAAAGGGAGCACTATAATCTACAAGGGCAGATATCATCCACAGCCAGTGGCCATCACCCACACATTACACTTTTCAACAAGGGACTGTCATAAAGACATAACTCAGACATTCCTAAAATTCGGGTTCCCTTCACATTCTAGTAACTGCCACCAATAGGGACGCAGTAAGAAACTGAATGTGTGTGTCCAGCACCAGTTTACTCATGGAGTTCAGCTCTAATGGGATGGTATTTGGCTATTCGGAGATGGGGGTCTCTGGGCTAGATGAGGTCACAAGGGAAGAAGTCAAGAGCTAGCAGGGTAAATTACTGGGAAAATCACCTGCCTGGTGCACAGGAGCCCTTCCATCCCCAGCACACACACACACACACACACACACACACACACACACACACACACACACACACAGAGCAGTAAAACAAAACAAGAAACTCAAAAAACAAACAAATAAAAAGCTGAATGTGGGGGAGCACAGCTGTAATCCCAATACTTGGGACAGAGAGTAAGAAGTTTAGAAGTTAAAGTTACATATGAGCTCCAGGCCAGCCTGAGTCACATGAAACCCTGCCCCAAGAAAGGAAAGAAGGGGAGGGGGGGAGAAGGAAGGAAGAAAGAAAGGAAAGGAGGAAGGGAGGGAGAGAGGAAGGAACAAAGGAAGAAAGGACAGGAAAAGGGAAAAGAAAAAGGAAGCAAAGGGCGGGGAGAATAAAGAGCCTGCTAACCAGTTTGGCAACCTGAACTTGATTGCCAGAGCCCACATGGAAAGAAAGAACTGACCTCACTTAGTTGTGCCAACATATACACAAAAATAAACAAACAAACAAACAAACAAACAAACAAATAAATAAATAGGAAAAATGAAACAAGCCTATAATCACAGCACCTGGGAGACTGAGGCAAGAGAATTACCAAAAGTTCAAGGCCAGCCTGGGCTACAGAGTGAATCTTTGTCTCAAAACATCAAGAATAGGACTTGGGAGATGACTCAGTGGTTAAGGGGACTTGCTAGTCTTGCAGAGGACCCAAGTTTAGTTCCCAGTATGCATGCTGGACAGTTTACAACTGTCTGTACCTAGAGCTCCCACTGGGACCTGGTGCCCTCTTCTGCCTTCTCTGGGCACCCACACATGTGGCACATGGGCACACACATAATTTAAAAATTTAAAAAATACCTGGCAGTGGCGCACACCTTTATCCCAGCACTCAGGAGGCAGAGGCAGGCAAATCTCGAGGCCAGCCTGGTCTCCAAGAGCTAGTTCCAGGACAGGCTGCAAAGCTACAGAGAAACCCTGCCTTGGAAACCAATAAACAAACAATCAAACAAATTTGTTTTAGAGAAAATTAAGAATAAAGAAATGCAGAAGATGAGAGGCAGCAGAGAGCTTGCTTGTGTGCACCTGTTTCCTTCCCTCCAAAGCTCCCACAGCTCCTTCTTCTTCCACCATCTCAGAGAGCCTGGCTATGCTACACCCCACTCCCACACCTGTGCTTGTGGCAGTGAAGAATCCGCCTTATGTTTGTATAGCCTCATTTGTAGCTCTAGCCTAGGTCAGCTCAAGTCACCCAAGACAGACACTGTGAGCAGAGACTCGACGGCACTGCCATTTTGATATCAGTTGTAAGTACACTGAACCTACAGGCAAATGAGCAGACAGCCAAACCATAAAGACACCGTCCTACTGCATACAGGACACTGTCACAGGTCAGCCATCAGACAGACATAGCCCATCACCTCCACCAAGGGCACTTTGATAGGTCCTGGTGAGCATGTGAAAAGCTAACAGCCTGAGCTCGGTGGGTAAAGAGCGTGTCATGCAAGCACGAGGACCTGAGTTCCACTCTCCAGAATCCACGTGAGAAAGCCAGGTAAGGCACTGTGTCCTGCCATCCCAGAGACCTGCCAGCCAGCCAATCTAGGTAAATCGGTGAATCACTAGTAAATCGCTCAGGGATACTGTCCCAAAAAACAAAGTAGTGCTGGGTGTGCTGGCCCAGTCTTTAATCCCAGCACTTGGGAGGCAGAGGCAGGCGGATCTCAGCCTGCTCCACTCGGTGAGTTCCAGGACGGTCAGAGCTACATAGTGAGACCCTATCTCAAAAAAGAAAAATGGGCATAGTCATAATGTGGCAAAAGTCCTAGGACTCAGGTAGGTGTAGGGTGTAGTTGCACAAGTCTGTGACACCAGCACTCAGAGAGGCTGAGGCAGAAGGACCACAAGTTCTAGGTCAGGCTGGGCTACTTAGCAAGTATGAGGCTAGCTTGGGCTACAGAGTGAAAGGCTGCCCCAAAAGGAGGTGGTGGTGCTGGAGAGATGGCAAGGGTGCAGAGTACATGCTGTTTTCCAGAACACCTGCACGGTGGCTCACAGTCATTTCTGACTCCAGTTCAAGAGGATCTGATACCCTTCTCTGGCTCTATAGAAACCAGACACACAGTGGTGCACAGACATGCAGTTAAAACATGCACACACAAAATAAAAGCAATAAAAGAGGGGCAGAAAGGAAAACAGAAGAAAAAGGAGGGAATGGGGAAGAAGGAAGAGGAAGAGGAGGAAGAGTTGTTAGACTCAAGTCTTGGACAAGGCAGAGGGCCAAGACAGGAAGTGCTACCACGTGACATATACGGAAGCAACACTAGTACTGATAGGTGCACACCCAATGTCAATGGTAGAAAAAGTCATGCCCAGGATGAAGGCACAAGGACAATCACAGCCCACATGGAGCATGGTACCTGGTGCACAGAGATGGCAACTGTCACACAGGCACAGGTAACCAGAGCTCCAGTCACACCCACTCATGGCCATCTGAGGATAGAATCACTGTCCCGTGTGTGGAAGGGCCTTTCTTGTCAACGTTCTTTGGACATCAGCCCCAAATAACGACACAAGACTTATTAATTATGGAAGTTTGGCCTTTAGCTTAGGCTTGTTCCCAACCAGCTCTTATGACTTAACCTGTTCCTACTAATCTGTGGTGTGTGGCTAGTTACCTATCTTCATAATATATACCCAACCTCCTCAGTGTCTCACTGTGTCTCTGCCTCTCCCCCAGAATCCTATCTCTGCCCAGAAGTCCCGCCTAACATCTCCTGCTATTGACTCTTTATTAAACAATCCTTAGGCCAGTAAGGCAAAGCACAGACACATCTTCACGCAGTGTAAATAAATAGCTTGAAACAGTCACCCTGTGTCTTTAGTTGTACACAACAATTGATAAGGACACAACTGCAGGGCGCCAGGCATGTCACCTACACACAGTCACACTCTGGCACACATGGCCACTCAGGGTTCCATCAACAGTTGATGCTCCTTTGCCTGCCACAGTGACGCAGTATTCACAGTGACCAGGACAGCTCTTGGCATCTGTTGATGGTTGTTCCTGTTTTGTTTTGTCTCACTAAGTAGTCTTGGCTGGAACTCACAAAGATCTGCCTGTTTCTGCCTCCTGATACTGTAATTAAAGGCCTGCGCCACCACCTAGGTGCCTAGCACTGATAAAATTGGTTTTAGCAGACAGCTTGCCACAATCTAGAATTAGTTAGGGAGGGAGTCTCCAGGGGATTGTCTAGATAAGGATGGCCTGTGGGGAGGAGGGCGGAAAACCCACCCACTGTGTGTTTTATTCTCTGGGCAGGGGACTGGATCACATAAGGGTGAAGAAGAGAACAGAGAACCAGCACGCATGCGCGCATTCATGCACTGCTCTCGACTCTGGGCTGTCACGTTACAGCTTCTTCAAGGTCCTGCTGACAAAACCTCGCTGAAATGATGGATAGGAGCCTGGAGTGGGAACCAAATAAGCCCTTGCTTCACTGTGTTGCTTTTGTCAAGATATTTTTTAAAAATCTTTTTTTTTCTATTTTAATGTTGTATGGGTGTTTTGGTTGCATGTATATTTGTGCACCATGTGCATCTGTGCCCACATCAGCCAGGAAAATGTGCTGAATCCCCTGGAACTGAAGTTATAGGTTGTGAGCTACTATGTGGACGCTGGGAATCTGAACCTGCACCTCTAGAAGAGCAGTCAGCATCTAAATACTCAGCCATCCTTCCAGCCTCCCCTCCCCCCCGCCTCTACACACACACACGCACACACACTTAATTTAAAAACAAATAAAGTGGAGAGAAATCAAGGAAGACACCTGGCATCAACTTGGGCCTGCACGCATAAGTGCATATGTGAGCCTGCACATAAAAGCAATATGCAACCACTCTGGGGACACCTACAGCTCTGGACAGATGTGTCACAGCTAGTGTGACAAGGGAACCACATGATCGTGACCACTATGGCCCATTTCCATAAGGAGCTGGACATGAGATGTATTCAGTTTTGTGGCTTTTTGAGACAGGATCTTGCTATGTAGTGGAAGCTGTGCCGGAGCTCAAAAGCCTCCTGCCTCATCCTCCAGCATGGTAGGATGAGAGGCCTCTGTCACTACGCCTAGTTCACCAAGGCTTGGTCTCCACTCCTTAGCTCTGTGGAGGTGGTAAAAAAGCAAACATGAAAAAATGGCTATACCTGTGCCAACATCAAGCACCTGGGCCTGGTGGCACAAGCCTGTAATTCCCAAGACTTATAAGGTGAAGGCAGGAGGACTGAAAGTTCAAGTCTGCTCTAGGTCACATCGTGGGCGGTGGAGGCACAATCATCCCAGCACTCGGGACGCAGAGGCAGGGGGATTTCTGTGAGTCTGAGGCCAGCCTGGTCTACAGAGTGAGCTCCAGGACAGCCAGGGCTGTGTAGAAAAACCTGTCTCAAAACTAAACTAAACTAAACTAAAAGCAACCAAGGATAGGGCTGAGCGGCGACTGTTGAGAGAGCTTGGTGCCCTTCAGAGGAGTCAGGTGTGTTCCCCAGACCCACACGGGGTGACTCACAGTCACCTTAACTCCAGCTCTAGGCCTTCTTCGGGCCTTTGGGGAACCTGCTCACAGACGTGCACACATATAAACTAAATCTTTAAAACAACCCTTTAAAAAAAGGAATAGGGCATGGCTGAATGGTACCATGCCTGCACAGACTCTACCAGTGAAGGCCTTGGGGCGTGGTTCACTAACACAACACAAGCCTAGTAGACAGGAGTCCCTGGACTCTATCCCGAACACAACAAAAGAAAGAAAGAAAAGGAAGGAAAAAGAAACAAACAAACCAGCAGGTGCATTTGGCCTGAAGGTAGCATTTGACTACAACTATCCTAGCCCAAACCTTGAATGAAACAAAAGGTTTAGTCAGAAACTGCAGGAATAGGCTCCCTTCACAGTGAGATTAATTCCCGCCTCCTTGCCGTACACAGCAAAGCATTAAGAAGTGAAGTCTGAGTGCAGGCAGGCAATATGAAGGGAAAGGCCTCACCTTGGGCCTCTTCAGGAGCCGCCTGGCTCTCCAGCTGGCCAGCCTGTAGCGCACGGCGAAGCTGCATGCGGATGATGTCAATCTTGGTCTTACTATCCTGCAGCATCTGCTGGGCTGTCAACAGCAGCTTCCGGTCCTAGAGACAGACATGCAAGGTAGCAGAAGACTGGGAGCTCAAGTCTGACAGCAACCCTGCTGCCATGCCATGGAGGCCTTGGGGCCAGTGCAGAGAGATACAGTCCATGGGCTTCACTCCAGCTCTGCCACCAAGAGCTGAGCCTTGTGGCCTCACCTCCTTCATCTGCAAAGTCTGGACCTACACTGGGCTGAGGACTCAGCCAGTCTGGACCAGTTGGAGCTACATCCTCCTCAGCTCTCAGCACATCTGTGCGGATGTCTGCAGGGTCACAGACAAATGGCTGTATACTGCAGTAACATATAGATAGATAGATAGATAGATAGATAGATAGATAGATAGATAGATATAGATGCCTAGAGCAGGTCAAACCAGAGACAAGAAGCAGACTGGTAGTGGCTAATTGGGATACAGCCTCCTGTCACAGAGATGGAATGTTCTAGAACACTGTCTCACCTTGGTGCTGCCATTGCTGTAAGTCTGGATCATGTTTTCTGCCCCCTGTTTGACCTTCAGCTCAATGGCCAGTTGTTTCTCCAGGCCAGCCACTCGGCTCAGGTTGGTGGATGAGCACATAGGGCTGCCCTCTCCAAGGGATTGGGGAGCATCTGAGGAAACAAGGAGGGAAAAGAATCACACAGTTGTCACTTCAGTAGACCCGGGAGACTTTGCCCCAGCTGATAGGAAGCCCTCAGCCCAGAAAAGGAGCCTGCGGGCCAGTACACAGGCAGGTGGTTAGTGACCAGGTATGCAGGTTTTCAGGGTTAGCTGGAATAAATGCCCTTATCTACCTAAGGGTATGTAAGCCCACTGGTGTGAGTGTGACTATGTCTGTAAGCCACAGGGGTAGCAGGAGTGTGATACCCTAGATGTGGGTGTAAGCGGGGTTAGGAGGTCTGTGTGAGCTTACAATCACTGTTTCAGTTGGTACTGCTCAGTTCTGATCTCTAAGGGCACCTGAGATTCTGGTTTGAGGCTTGGCTGTTGTCACAGTCAGAGGTGAAGTCTGTACCTCAAGAGTAGTAGGGTCAGGGCGGTAGACTCACTGCAGAAGGGGCTTATGGGATTCTCAGCTTGACTCCACCCAAGTGTTGATGGGATAATATTGGACCCCAATAGTGGACACAGCTGTATTTAGAGGGGCTGGTGCTGAGTCTGTTGACTGTATATAAAGTCTGCTGTGGATGAGACAATGTTGGGGCACCTCTGGGTTGGTGTGACCAGGTGGAAGAGCTCTGATGTCACTGCAGGTTAGTGTCTCACGGTGTAGGTGACGGGGTGCAAACCTTGGGTGCTGTCATGACTGTGCTACAATGTCTGGAATCAGGAAGCCATGTTTGCTGTGTTGCTCAGGTACCATTATTCCATCACTGACTGTGCACTTCTGAACTCTCCTCTCGTGTTCCTGTGACCATGCACATCTTGGCTACAAGATGAAGGACTTGTGACCTTGTATTGTTGCTGTGTGAACACACATAACACTTCTGAACTCTGGCGAGGATAAATTACGTGTGGGTTCTCTCTCTCTCTGTGTGTGTCTGTGTGTGTGTGTGCACGTGCGTGTGCATATGTGTATATACGAAAGCTAAAGGGACAGCAGGTAAATTCTTCAATTGCTCTCTGTCTTCCTTCCTCCCTCCCTTTCTCTTCTGAGATAAGGTCTCTCACTGAGCCAGCCTGGCGCTCTCTGACTCAATTGCTGTGGCTGAGCAGTGAGCCTGGAGCTCCTTCTCCATCTCCCAACACTAGAATTAGCACTACATGCGGCTTTTACTTGGGTCCTTGGACTCCAAACTCAAGTCTATGTTTGCACAGTGAACACTTCACTGGCTAAGTTTCTCAACCTCTTTTATTTTAACTATGCTATGATCAAAAATTTTTTTGAGATAGGGTTTCTCAAAGGCATGCAACACCACCCACAGGCCAAAAATTTAAATTTGTAAAAATATAAAAATGAGCCTTACAGCTAGGGGTAGTGGCATATTCCAGTAATCCCAGCACTGGGAGGCAGAGACAGATGGATCTCTGTGAGTTTAAGGCCAGCCTGGTCTACAGAGTGAGTTCCAGGACAGCCAGAGCCACACACAGAGAAACTCAGTCTTGGGGGGCGGGGGAAGCACCCTCCTGGGCTTAGAACTCCAATAAGTAATCTCTGTTACTTGGGAGACTAAAGCAAGTCCAAGCCCTGCCTGGGCAACGTAGTGAGATTTTGTCTCAAAAAACATGTTTAGAAAAAAAAAACCCGGGCTGGAGAGATGGCTCAGTGGTTAAGAGCACTGCCTGCTCTTCCAAAGGTCCTGAGTTCAATTCCCAGCAACCACATGGTGGCTCACAACCATCTGTAATGAGGTCTGGTGTCCTCTTCTGGCCTGCAGACATACACACAGACAGAATGTTGTATACATAATAAATAAATAAATATTTTTTAAAAAAAAAAGAAAAAAAAACCCTGAGGCGAGGGCTGAGGTATAGTCCAATGGTACAAAACATACTCAGAGTGTAGACGGCCCCAAATTCCTCCCCAGGACCCAATTAAATTCAAATCTTTAACCGTTGCAAAAGTCTAGGGCTGGAGATGTGGCTCAGCTGGTAGGATGCTCACCTTGCACGAAGAACTGGGCTTCATTCCCAACACTGCTAAACTGAGCACACTTTACAGGGAGGGTGAGGGGCCAAAGCCATCCTCAGCTGCAGTGACTTTAAGGCCAGGCTAGGCCTCAGGAAACCCTGTCTCAAATGGCACACGCCTTTAATCCTAGCACCAGGGAGGCAGAGGCCAGGTTGGTCTACAGAGTGAGTTCCAGGACACCCAGGGCTACACAGTAAGATCTGCCTCAAAGAAACAGGGTTCCGAGGAAAGGCTGGAGAGAGCACTCTGCTCTGTGGAGGACCAAGGCTGGGCCAGTGCCCATATCAGGGACTCACAGCCACCTGTAACTTCAGTTTCAGGAACCCCTGACATGTGACACACATAAAGACATCCGGGCATATACACACACACATAAATGAAAAACTAAAAATACGTTTTGTTTTGTTTTGGTTTTGGTTTTGGTTTTAGAGACAGGTTTTCTCTGTGTAGCTCTGGATGTTCTTGAACTCACTCTGTAGACCAGGCTGGCCTCAAACTCACAGAGATCCACCTGCCTCTGGTCCAGAGTGCTGGGACTAAAGGCGTGCGCCACCACTGCCTAGCTGTTTTTATTTATTCATATGTGAATTTTTATCTGGAGTTGTTTTTCTTTTTTCTTTTTCTTCCCTGGGTTGAAAGTAGCTTTGTTTTTGATTTTTTAGACAAAGCTTTTTACTACGTAGCCTGACTGGCCTTGACTCACAGATATCTACCTCCCTCTGTCCAATACATATATACATATAGACATAGATATATAAACACAAAAAAAATAAAACAAAGCAAAGAACAACAGAAAATAGTCTATAACTGCTGTTGTACTGGTATAATTGTGCAAGGCTCTGAGTGACAAGTGTGCAGTATTTGGGTGTGGGAGCCCATGAGTTTCTGGGTGTTCATGGGACAGCATGTCACTCAGATGCTGTCTGGGCACAGCTATAGCTGTTTCCTTAGGTATGTGGTGACAGTGTGTGGACCTTTAGTGTTATCTAGATGTTGGCATGTGTATTTAGGTATCCCTAACGCCAAAGACAGCTTTGGGTGGCATCTGGGTGACATTACATCACAGGTGTAATGTCTGGGTGTAGTCACCCTGTGAGTCTGGCATTTGCCATGACTCTGGTTGACCCAGGACAGTACCCTGATGGAGTTTAACTCCAGAAAGTCAGTGACCCTGCCTGGTCCCAAGCTTTCTGCTCACCACTCCCGGCTGCAGGGTCAGGCAGCACCACATGCGCATGCAGCTCCTGCAGCTGCTGGTGGAGCAAGTCAAGGCGTCGAGCAGAGCCCCTCAGCAGCAGCTCCACAGGGCCCAAGCTGCGGCCCAGGTCAGTGGTGGCTCGCCTCAGGTTCTCGGCGCCCTCCTTCAGCTTCAGCTCCTTGCGGATCTCCCTCTTCAGTCGCTCTCGTTCTAACTCCAGTTGCTGCTGCACCCCGGGGGCTGCCAGGTCTGCCCCAGCCAGACCCAGCTGCTCCAGCAGCGACCAGCTGCGAGGCTCGCTCTGCAGGGGGAGGGACCAGACACAGAGGTCAAGGGCTGAAGGACAGGTGGCCTCACCAGGGCGCAGCTCACCTGACCTACCACTTTATCCTACTGCACCCTAGAATTCCAGGGACAGGGGCCTGTTCCTCCTCCCTGACCCTCATAATCTGGGCCAGAAAGATGGTTCAGGGGTAAAGGTTCTTGATGCCAAGCCTAGTGACCTGAGTTCCCCCAGGAATCTACACAGTGGAAGGAGAGAACCAACTCCTAAAAACTGTCCTCTGACCTCTACCACACCCCCACACACAAATAAATAAATAGAGGGCTTGAGAAATGGCTCCATTAAAAACATGCATTGCTCTTGCAGAGGAACTGAATTCTGTTTCAAGCCTCTAATTCCAGATCTAGGGGGACTTGACACCTCTGGCCTCATCAGGCACTGGTGTGCATGTGTACATAACCCCACAGTCACATATGCATAATAAGAATACAAATAAATAAATAGGAAGTCAAAGAAAAGACCAAGAACAAGATCTCCTTCCTCCCTTGTTTTCAAGAACCAGGCTCGCCACAGGTGGGTCCTATTTCCCTTAATTTGTGACCTATGCAATAGGATTCCAGCAGGAAGGTTCCAGAAGATCCCTCTTTCCTTCCAGTTTCCTGCACTCCTAACCAGGAGGTCCCAAGGGTGGGCTACACATTTCTTTTGTCATACTCCAAAACCAGGAAAACCTTAGAAACATATTCTGACTTCTCTCACCTGCATTCCCAAACTGGAGGTCCCAAGGGCTGGCCCTGCCTCCCTGGCTTCTATATCTGGTACTCCAAAGAGCAGCTCACATCTCCTCCCACATCTCTCGATCCTGAGAGCTGCCATGGCACCCAGAAGTTTCACCCTCCATCTAGAGAGCTGTCTTTTGTGCCCCATCTCCTTCCTACCCTTAATACCCAATGATAGGCACCCAGATTAGACCCTCCAGCTTTTTCTGCCCATCCCATGAAGACCCTAGCTCCCACCTCCAGCTCCAGATCCAAAGGGGGATCAGCCGCCATCTGGGTCCTGGGTCTGGTCTGAGGACCACGCCCTCTTCCTGAACCTCAGCCCTGCCAGGGCCTCTGGACTGCCACTTCCTCTTTCCTGCTGACTCCCAGCATCCTCTACGCCAGGGCAGCTCTAGGGCATGGGGTTTTTTGTTTTGCTGTTATTTTGTTGGGGCAATGGTTTTGGTTTTTTGTTTGTTTGTTTTTTGAGACAGGGTCTCTCTATGTAACCCCTGCTGTCCCGAGATTTACTATGAAGACAGGGGTGGACTGAAACTCAGAGATCCACCTGCTTCTGCCTCTTGGGTGCTGGGATTAAAGGCGTGTGGCACGTAAGAGGTTCTTCCTACATTATCCCCTAAATGGCCATGCTTGCTTCACTGGAGGCAAAGCTAGGGACAGGCATTCCTCAATTCACGACCTGAGAGAACACCCTGGACATATACACCCACAGTATGTATGCAGCAGGCAGGATCTCACATGGTACACAGGTGTGTAGTCCATAGGCTCACAGGTATGATCCCATGTCCAGCTTTGCTGGTGTGAGATTTGTATAGGCTCACGTATGCTCATACAGTACAGGTTCATATATGTGTATACCCTTGTCACAACTAGCTTCAGTTGTCAACCAGACAAACTCGTGAAGAGGAGACTTCAGTTGAGGAACTGCCTATCAGACTGGCCTGTGGGCACGTCTATCAGGCGTTTTCTTGATTGTTGATTGATGTGGGAGGGCCCAGCCTTCTGTGGGTGATGCCATCCCTGGGCAGGTGGGCCTGGACTGTGTAAGAAAGGTGCTGAGCAAGCCAGAGGAAGTGAGGAGTAAGCAATGTTCCCCTGTGGCTTTGTTTCTTGAGCTCCAGCCCTGACTTCACTCCATGATGAACTATAATTTATAAGACCAAATAAACCCTTTCTTCTCCAAGTTGCAATTGGTCAGTCTGTTATCACAGCTACAGAAAGCAAACTAAACCAATCCCCACCTGCAGGAGTGTGTGGATAGAGCATGGGTTCACGAGAGTGTGCAGCTACTAGCTCTGCAGGTCTAGGGTGCACAGAGTACTGACTCACACTCATCTGCACCTCCTCCAGGCACCTGCAGGTGTGTGCCTGGAATACGGCTCATGTGCACACATACTGCACTCCCATCCATGTGAGCACGTGGGTGAACACAGGCTCCCACACCTGCCTGCACAGACCCTCATAACGAACAGCCATGAGTGCGAGTCTGAGTCCCTCAGGAAGCTGCTCTCTCAGTGCACCTGCCAATTGGCCAGTGACTACAAGCTCCAGCACATATGTGTGCTCACATGCTTCTTTTGTTTGTTTGTTTTCTTTTTGAGATGCAGTGCTTGTACATGCTCACATTCCTTTTGCTTTGCTTTGCTTTTTTTTTAGTTGCACTGCCCATGCCCCGAAAGCAACTGTGAGCTCCCTCAGGCCCTCAGCCCTGCTACTGTCTGCTCATGTCTTGCCCGTAGTCACCAACATCCCCTCAAGAATCAGAACAACCAGTTCTGCAGTGGTGAGTGTGTGCACGCACGCGCGCGCAGCTTCCTGTAGACAGGCATCATAACTTCCTGCTTCCTCCTACCCAGATGTCCACCACAGCTGATGGCAGCTTGGAGGCCTCGGGGGCCCGCTTGGCCTAGTAGTAGCTCCCTAAAGCTAACACCAGGAGGAGACAGCCCTGAGTGGCCCCAAACAGCAGCCCACGACTGTTTGCCAAATATACACCAAATCTCAACTATAGCAGTTACAAGGCTGTACATATCAGGGACAAGGTATGTGAGGACATTCTATTTCTCACCAGATTCTGCAGTGAACCTAAAACTGCTCTTAAAACTATTCTATTTTAAAACAGTAGCAGTGTTGCTGGAGAGATGGTTCAGCAGTTAAGGGCTCACACTGCTCTTCCAGAGGATCTGAGCTCAGGTCCTAGACATGCCAGATGGATCTGATGGCTCTGGCTTCTGTGGGCATATGTACATACCCCCCACATACATAATTAAAAACAATAAAATCAATAAAAGTAGTAGCAACAGCAGCTACAGGCAGTGGGTGGAGTTTGGTAGCATGTACAAGCACTGTACCTCAGAAGAGACAATAACAAGAGCTACCACAATTTCAGCCAGGTCTCACTAATGTCATCCCATGAGATAGGTACTATTTGTTTTGTTTGGCTTTATATTGTTTTGTGCTGGGATCTCAAGTAACCCAAGGTGGCTTTGAATTCAATATACAGCTAAGGTTGGCCTTGAGTTCCTGACCCTCCTGCTTCCACCTTGCCAGTGCTAGCACCCAGCACAGCACGATGCAGATGCTACAGACAGATGCATAGACAGACAGATATCAAACTATCTTCAAGATGAAGAAAGAAATTGAGGCCCGCGAAGGCTTGTTGCCACACACGTTTAATCCCAGAACTTAGGAAGCCAGGGCAGGAGGATCTCCTTGAGTCCTGGCCAGCCTCATCTACACAATGAGACCCTGTCTCAAAACAAGCAAACAAACAAAGAAAAAACCCACCAATAACAAAAACAGGAAGAACAGAAGAAAGGAAGAGACTAGCTGGGGCACCTTGCCCAAGGTCCCACAGTCAGCTAGAGATAATAGGGCCACGGCTAGCTGGGAGGAATTCCACGTCCCTCACACCTTGTTGCTGTGAGCCACCATCACAATGAGCAAAGTTCTCCGGGAGGGCAATGAGACTGCAGGACAAGAGCACAGATCTTGTTGCTCTGTCATCTCCTCTCTATATATCTGTGTGGTAGTAACCATGGGGGTAGACTGAGGCTCCAGGAGCCCATAGCAGTGGCTCCCAAGGAAGATGGGGTTGTTTTCTCACCACCTCTAGATACACATTCTTGGTTGTCATTATAATCAAGGCATACAAGAGACACCTGTCAAGTGGAGGCCATTGCTGCGGCTCAACATCCCGAGGCACACAGCACAGCTCCCCACCACAAAATGATCCAGGCCCTAACACCAGTGCTGGGGCCTTGGGAAGGGGTTGTGGGCTCCCATCTCGGATTGCCAATCTCCATGTTCACCCTTAGAGCACCGGCTGAGGCTCCACCTCCCTCCTCATAACCAACCAGTCATAACCCCATTCCCTCCTCCAAAACAGGAACAAGACTCAGAAAGGTTTGACCCAAGAGTTCATCAGGGAAGACAGACAGCACGGGGGATTTAACCTAGCCTCACTGAACAACACCCTGCTGTGACCAGGCCCCACCCACGGTCCCTTATCAGCACCCCCACCACCAGCAGGCAAAGCAGGTACTCAGCCAGGAGCAGGGCCAGCTCTCAAGGGGAGCATACAGGCAGAGGAAAAGTGAAGGCCTTCGGGCCCACCTCCAGCAGAGGAGGCCTGAGAATATGTAAAGCATGCAGGGAAGGAAGGAGGCAGGGCCTCCTGGGTTCTCCTCCCCTGGGTGATTCACTTGTGCCCAGGAACAAGGAGTCACTTGAGGGCAGTGGGGCAAACGCCTGGCCTGGTCTTGAAGCATTACAACATCAGCTTCTCCACCTGCCATCACAGACCCGGAGACACCAGAACAAGAACTCTCACCTCGGGGAACCCTTCTTGGCAAAGTAGCTAGGGATCCAGAACCCCACATCCTGAGATTTCAATGCCTGGGGCGTTTCCAGAATCGAGACAGGACATCCGTTTGCCAGACATAGAACAGATAGGCATGGAGGTGGTGGGACAGGGCAGCAAGTCCAAGCGGGAATAAACTTAAGAGAGACAACAGGAAGGGGACCGAGATGTGTGGGTCCAGCCTCATTCTGGGAAAAACAGCCTCCGTGTGTGTCCAGTGTGGGGCACACCAAGCACATGCATGCACTGGGAGAGCCCTACACAGCCCTCTGTGGGCTTGAAGGCGAGCCAGCACCCAGTGCATCACGCCTGGAGGTCTGACCTTGTGAGATCGGCAGCACCAGATACGCCCAGCTCCTCGGCAAGGCCGGCAGGCCATCAGCAGGACTGGGGAAGAGGGGTATGGGAGAATACAGGGGAGACATGGGGGCAGGTGTGGAAGGAGATGAGAACCAGTTACACAGGACAATGGACTTACACGGTGGAGAACCAATGGAGCCACAAGGATACCAAGATCTCAGATTTGGGTCGTTGTATTAGAGGGTGGGAAGTCACCCTGACCCTGCTTCCTCTTGGGAAGGTGGGTTCAGTAATGCCCAACAGGTCACACTGGGAAGGCCATGTGGTTGACAGATGCCAGTCACAGGTGTTTGTTGCGGGGGGGGGGGGGGTGACCCAGCCCTGTAGCCTTCCAGACATAAAATTCTTCCTGCCTGTGTGACAGGACACGCCCCACCTGGGATACGGCTCCATCTGTCAGAGAAGGGTGGCTAAGGGGAAGGGGGCGCTGGAGGAAGAACCCGGCCTCTGGCATAATGAAGTGACTTAGACACTTCCTACAACAGGTGCCCATCTGGGTGGCGTCAAGACCATCGTAAAGACGTCTGCAGGCGGGGGTGGCCCGGGCTTTGTTGTGCGGGGGAGGGGCACGGTCCACGGCAGGGGGCCAGGCACCTGCTCCAGGTGAAGCGGCACCAGCCAGAAACTGAACGCTGAGGACCTCGGCGAGGAGGGCCTGGGGACGAGAAGCACCGGAACCCGCAGCTGGCCTCGGACACCGCAGTGGGGCCCCCACTGAGCCCGCTGCCTCTCAGGGAGGGCGGGAGGAGGAGGTGCGATAGCAGAATCCCGAACAGCACCCCGTCCTCCGACCAGGTCGGCGCTCCCGCCAGCTACAAGGACCTGCGCGGGCTCCCGATGGGGACCCCCGTCCCGGGCTCTCCCAGTGCCTGGGGTCCTCCGCGCCGTCCGTCGCCCCGCGGGTGTGGACAAGTCGCCTACCTGCACGGCGTCGCCGGCCATGTCCTCCGGCCGCCCGCCAGGGGTCCCAGCGCCGAGGCACGGCTTGCGAGCACGCGAGCGGGCGCGGCGGGAGGCGCGGCACCCAGACCCTCCCTGGCGCGCGGCGCGCTCCGGCCTGCTCTGCTCGGCCCGGCCTGGCCAGGCCTCCGCCAAGCTGCACCCTCCGGCCCCAGCGGCTGCAGGACGGGTCACGTGAGCGCCGAGGTCCGCGCCTGGGGAGGAGGCGGGGCGGGGGCGGGGCTCCCGGCGGCCCCCGGGGCTCGCAGCCCCGAGTTGGGTCCCGTTTGCAGTGCCGCTCGCCCTGCGCTCCTCCTAGCGTGCTGGAACTCTGAACAGGCCTAAGCCTTCGCGAACTACAGAGGCCTTGTCTCTCCTCCCTGCAACCCCCGCCTCGGACCCCTCTGAAAGCAAAAGTCACGATCTATCTCCCCACCGCACAGGCGCATCCTCCCATTTCCCCTGAGGCAAGCACTGGGAGAACAGGACTTCAAATCCCAGGGCCCCAGACTTTTGGAGACCACCGAACCTCTCTGGGCAAGGATGTCCGTAAAACTTAATGAGAAAGAGTAGACTAAGTGTCCTCAAGCGCACACACAACACACACAAAATGCCAGCGGCTGTCAATTTTATTGTTTTGAAGATTTTATTTTGACTTATGTATGATGGAAATAAGTTCGAGGTGGCCAAGAAAGGAACCACCTTTCTAACAAATGTCTGAGCGAGGCAAAATTTACTCTTGATCAAGAGAGTGCTGGCAGGAAGTACATTTGGTTTTTAGTCTAACTCAGGTGACCTCATAATCGTATTCAATTGGTTAGTGGAAAAAAAAAAAAGTAGTGCAGAGGAGCTGGAGGAGGAAGGGGAAAGGGGTCACTGCTCCAAGCCTCAAATTCCTAGAAAGGAGCAGGGGAACCTTTGTGTAAACAAAAGTTTTACTGGGCAGGGAAGATTAAAACATCCCCATAAAGTTTTAAAAGGTAAGGAGATAATGATTGCAGTTGCTGTCCAAAACACAAGTTTTATAGTATTTGCTAGAAAAGATTCATATTTTATTTCTTACATGTGTATATATGTGTGTGTAGGGGTTATGCACATGTGTGCAGGTGCCTCTGGAGATCAGAAGAGGACATGGCATCCCCAGAATGAAGTTATAAACGGTTTGTGAGCCGCGCCCACGTGGGTGCCAGACTTGGGCTTCTTCAAGAGCACGGATCTCGAACCCCAATTTTGATGTTTGTTTGTTTATTTATTTAGTATGTGTGCATGCACATGGGCAAGCCAAGGCAAATGTGTGGCGCTCGGGACAATTTGCAGGGTCAGTCCTCTTCTTCCACCCTATCATTCTTAGGGGTCCAAACTCAGGTCATCAGGCTTGACCTTAAGTGCCCTTACTTGCTGAGCCATTTCCCGGTCATGCGGTCACTTTTAATATATTTGCCGCTATTGACTAAGGGGTTTGAACCTCAGCATGGCCTCTGATGCGCCGGACCCTGTGGGTCCCTGAGGGCTCTAGTTTTTGCCCTCTGTGAAGTGTTGGCTTCTTTTTCCTGGATGCTGCACTCAGATGGTACACCATCAGTGCACACGAGTGTCCAAATGGAATGCAGGGGCTTCTGCAGGATTTCTCTTGGAGGACCAGAGGAATGCAGCTGCAGTTTGTATTGTGGCAGCTCTGCGGCTCTGTCAATCAGAAACCCAGGCGAGGGATCCGAACTTTGGTCCCCAGGGCTCCAGGCAAGCTATGCTCACTGGAGGCCTACAAGGGGTGCCCTCCAGGAATCAGCGCTGGCACAGGGACACAAGAGTATCTTATATGCCCTGTCTTCCCAGGGACAACGCTATGGGGTTTCTCTCTGTGTTTTGGCCAACTTTGTAGGGTATTTTAACAGAGAGGAGGAAAATGGCAGCACTGGGGAAACCACTCCCTTAGCACCTCGCCCAGACCCTCTCCATAGGCCCTGTACACCATCACCGACCTTTCTGGACCTTCCTGCTTGTCTCCCAGCCTCCTCCTACAGTCTCTTCTTCAAACACAGCCAAAGGGTGCCCATGAGTACCTAAAGCCGGGACACTTTTAGGAGGAACCCCCCAGGCCTGTGTGATGCTGCCCTTGTCTTCTCCACATCTCTCCTCACGCACTCCTGCAGCAAGCTGACATCCTAATTATACCTCAGATGTTTGCTGAGTAAATTAAATAGCTTGCCAAACGAGTCATCTCGCTTCCTTTTTTGCCGATTGATAGAGGAGAAAAACCCCTTGCCTTTATAATCAAGACAGGATGTCCATGGTCCCTGCAAAGTGGGCATTGAACCCACCCATTTTGCAATTGAGAAGGGCATGGGATTGGCAGGAAAAGCCTTGCCTAGGGCCCTGCCTGCCAGGTTCTGAACTGCCTCTGGGGATGGAGCTTGGGAATGCAGCCAGATTCTCCTTCAGCCTTCCAGCGTTCATTTACTCAGTGAGTCTTTATCACGGTCCGCTGGGGATTTGGGTGCCCTGGAAACAGAGCTGTACTCTAGGCTTTAAAAGGGACAAAGAACTAATTGTAAAATCTCCACACAATAATGATAAAAGTTCCAGCAGCGCTCCGAAACTTCCCTGGCCTCCCCTCTGCAGTCTACTCTGGGACCTGGGTACACTAGATCCCAGACAGGTTACATCTCACCATGGTCGGGCGCTCCATGCTGGAAAGTCTCATCCTATCTTTGAAGCAGCCTTAGAAAGGGCTTCTCACCCTCACTGGCCTTCAAGGTAGTCTGTCCAGCCACTCTGGGTCCTCTTCTTGCTGCCAACCACAGGGCCTTTGCACAGGCTGTTCTCCGATCTAAAATATCTTTCCATCATATTTTCCCAAGGCTGGTCCCCTTCATTCATTCATTTTTAAAAATTTTTGTTACATTAAAAATTGTATTTAGATGTATTTTTTTGTGTTTGTATGTCTGTGTGTAGATATGTGCACATGGGTCCACATGCCCACAGAGGCCAGAAAAGGGTATCAGATTCCCTGAAACTGGAGTTACAGGTAGTTGTGAGCCTTAACTGCTGCTATTTCTCCAGCCTCAATTCTATTACACGTTAAAATGGATTGTGTGTGTGTGTGTGTAAGAGAGAACATATGTGCCATCAATGGCTCACATGAAGTGTTCAGAGGATAATTTTCAGGAGTTGTTCTCATCTTTTCCCACGTGGGTCCTGGGTTCAAACTCTGACTGTCTAGCACAATGGTGGGCCCCTTGGCCTTCTGAGCAATCTCAATGCCTGCTCTATATTTTTGGTTGTGAGCCTAGCCTTTAACAGCTGAGCCATCGCTACAGTCTGTCACCGGCCTGTTTTAAGTATTTTTACTTGTTTGTTCTAGCTAATTGTTTGAATGTCTCTATTCTGAGCCCCTCACAGTCCTCCCCGGTGACTTGAGTCTGCATCTCCAGGCCTTGGCATGGCTTGACTTCATTTCAAAGGTGTTCTGCTCCTGCTGTGGTGGTTTCACTAAGAACAGACTCATAGGCTCCGATATTTGCATGGTTGGCCCCTAGTTGATGAGCTGTTTGGGAAGGATTAGGAGATGTGGTCTTTCTGGAGGTGATGTGCCACTGGGACTGGGTTTTGAGGGTCTAAAATGTCAGGTCCAGACTTGCTGTCTCTGCTCGGTGCCTGGGTATCGGGATGTGAGCTCTCGGCTACTGCTCCAGCACCAAGCCTGCCTGCCACCACTCCCCACAGGCTAATCCTCTGAAACTGTAAACAAGATCGCAGTTTAATGCTTTCTTCTGCCTGTTGCCATGGTCATGTCTGTTCACAGCAATAGAACAGTGACTGACAGGCTTTACTCCCTCCATCTGTAGAACTGAGGAGAGGACACAGTGAGGGGGGCAACGGAGCATTATCCCTATGGAGGCCTGAAGACAACCACAGGGGATGAGCTGGGCCAAGGTAACCACACTACTCCTATGGAGGGTGGAAGACAACCATGGGGGGGGGGGATGAACCGGGCCAGGGTTCTCAGAGGAGCTGGCCCTGGAGTTAAGTGTTAAAGAATAAGCAGAAATGTTCCCAGTGGTTAGAAAATGCCAGAATCCAGAAGGTAGAAGTAGAAGTAAACAGATCTTTGTAAATTTGAGAGGTCAGCCAAGCCACATAGTAAGACCTTGTCCAAAAAAAAAAAAAAAAACCTAGGTGATGATGGTATCCCACACCTTTAATCCCAGCGCTCGGAGGCAGAGGCAGTCTAGTCTACAAAGTTCCAAGATGGCCAGAACAGAGAAACCCTTTCTCGGGTGAGAAAAAAAAGTAATGGGGAGAGGCTGAGAGATCCTTAGGGAAAACACTGAAGTTCTGGGGTGCTATCAGCTGCTCTGTCCCCCATTTTCCACCTCTCTCCTCCTTCAATCCGCTCTGGCCATAGGGGCCTCCTCACTGCTCCTCAGACAAGCCTGTTCTGACCTCATGATCTCTGAACTGGTTCTTCCCTCTGTCTGTAATGTTGCTCCTTTTCATCTTGGCTTTCTCTCCGGTTTCATTCCCACTTTTGTTCAAATGCCACCTCCTAAGCCAGACCTTTTCTGCTGCCTTCACCTAGCACAGCCCATCCATCCCTTCCAACCTCCACCCTGCAATTAAAATATATATCTATTTCACTTTCTTTGTACAAGTGTTTTGCCTGGATGCATGTCTGTGTAGCACATGCATGTCTGGTCCTGCAGAAGTCAAAAGAGGTCATCAGATTCCCCTGGAATTGGAGTTACAGGTACTTGTGAGCTACCAAGCCTGAGTCCTCTGCAAAAGCAAGTACTCACAACCACTGTGCCATCTCTCCAGCACCCACAAACAACTTTGTGTGGTACTTGATATTGAACCTAGGGCCTTGTGCATCTGGACAGGTGTTCCACTGCTCAGCTACATTCTCAGCTCTCCTGAAAAAAAATATTTTAAAATTAGTTTACATGTATGGATGTTTTGTCTGTATTTGTGTCTGCATACTTTGTGCATGCCTGGTACCCTCAGAAACCAGAAGAGGGCATCAGATCACCTGGAGTTGAGAGATGGTTGCAATCCACAGTGTTGGTGCTGGGAACTGAACCCAGGTACTTCGGGAAAGCAGCCAGTGTTCTCCACCACTGAGCCAGCTCCCTCCCTGCAAGTTGTATTCTCTTTCTGTACTGTAGGGCTGAACACCTACATTCTGTGTATGAACTATAT